TATAGAAAATAAAGTGCAGAGAATATAAATGGAATTGACTCCAGTTTTTTATTAAGTGCTGAAAAGTTCGAACGTAATATTGACCTTTTCCAAATTCTGCCGTACTACCGCTTCGTTCCGTTGTCTACCGGGAAGAACAGCAAAGGGGGATGACCGTAGGCGAAGAGCTATTTGTCGCTCAACCTCCGATTTATCGTTCAGCAATGCTTTGTATCCATTATCAATGCGACGCAATTTCCAGTATTCGTAAATGTCCGAAACCACATCTTCGCTAAGCGACAGCATGCCAGCAATACCTTCCACAGTTACATATAAGAAAAATATGCGCTCCATTTCTTGTAGCTGGAATTTTGCAATTACATTAAAATCAATCCATATCTAAATAAAATGTAATAAAAAATTACTAGGGAAATCAAACCAGTAAATTATTTTTAAACAATACCGTTAATGCAGTTGTACAAAGGGCATCTGGGTTGCAGAATTTCAAGTTGGAATGAAACATTTTCTCTATTGAATGCTGCCTGCAGAAGCTAACCATACGAACATTATCATCATCATTGTTGTCAGCGTTGCCATCATCGCTATCATGCTCTATATGCATTATCTGACATAAAAGAATTTTTTTTTAATATTAAATAAAAAATTTAATACCGGAGGAAACTGTCCTACAGCAAAAAATAGGAGAAAGCATAATACATGATACGAGAATTTTCTAGTGAGCAAAATAACATTTAAAAAAGCAAGGAATTTTCCTTTTCTTTTAAATAAAATTGTTATGCGATATGCTCCGAAAATAACTGTACCAACCACATTGTTGATCATAAGGCAAGACATTTCAATGTTTAACTCATCCATTTATACACATATTCATTATAGTAAATATGCATAGATATTTACAATTCCTTAGGTCTGTTCAAATCTATAGTTTGCTCACCTGTCCACTACGAAGTGCACAGCATACATGAAAAGCAGTTGTACATGTTTCCATAGAACACTGAATACAAGCTCCTTGTTTTGTACCACATACTGAACATCTGCATTACGTTGAAATGAAGAGCAGTGAGTTAAATTATAAAACTTACATTTGAAACACACATAGAAATTCACATGGGAAGCCTATGCTCAACTAGAAACATGCCAACAATAAAAAATGATATCATAGAATCTATAATACGAGCTAATATTGGTTTCTTTTTTTTCTGCTTATGAAGCCTTCATTGACTTAGGGGAACATAAAAATGATTGTACCGAAGCTTCCACCGTCCATAAGGAATATCACAAATATTTGCAATTGGTTCACGATGAACAACATCCGCGAAACGCACTTCATATATCCAAAGTGCGCAAACAACATGTGCCCATACATCACCTTCCCTTGTGCACTTCATTGCCCCACCAGTAAGTGGGCATAGCACGCACTGAGGAAGAGCCTTGAAAATTTTAATAAAATTCGAAAGGTTCAAAATCTCGAGACGATAAAGTGGTAACAATAAAACTTGTCCATCAGCGTAACTATGGCAGTATACGTTCACAGATATCTCTCACGCTTAAATAATGTTATTTTCATCTAGAAATTCTAACTGAGATCAAGTAGTGAAAAACTATACATTGTAGCCCAGAAGCATGCATTTCTGACAAAGCCATTCATCTGATGGGACGGAATCGAGTCCGTAACAGGACTGATGTACACCAACATTACAACCATCACAGAATATAATTTTATCATCTTCTTCACAGTCCGGCTGAAAAATTTCACCTTAAAGTAATTACCATTTTTCCTAATTAATAACGAATTACTTTATACATTATAAATGAGAAATAAAAACTCTGGCTTTTTTATTGGTTTGTAGTAAAATAATAATACCAAACAGACATTTAAAAAAACAAAACATCGACGCCGTCGGTCTTCTGTGAAACAAATATGTGCTTGATATAGAAAGAGATTTGAGTGAGATTCATGCTTCTGGTTAACAGACTAATCATCAACTTTCTCTAAAATCAAAAGCCGAAAAATACAACCGAACAGACCTGACGACATATATCACAGCAAACATTTTCATCAAATTCTGCATCTGCGGAAGCTATGGGAGAAGCAATAAGTGACAAGAGATCGCTATGTATTGCCTGCAATGTTTAGATACATGTTAGAAACTCATCTGACATTCAGCCAACACGATTTAAGAAATTTTGCATCCAGGAAACTAAAAAGTCTTTAAATCCTAACCAAATAAATTATAAAAGTGATGGAAGAAAATAATAATAAAAGCAATACCTGACAGCAAGAAACTTCCAATTTATCCATAACTTCGCCGAATACCTTTTCACTGATTGATGGCAATCCAACAGCGATGCGTTTTTCATTTAATTTGCATAAAAATGCACGATCAAGTCGATCTGGTTGGTAATTACGTAATTTCGGCATAACTACACGTCTATGTTTATCACCAATATACCGACGGTCATGAACTGCGATCAGTGAATCATGCCTTCAAAAATCAAACGTGCATGAAGAAATAAAAAACTAAGAATTAAAGCAATTAAAAAATCGCTATGCAGATTCCTTAAAGTAAGTAAGAAAATCACCTTTCGAAAGAAACTCGCGGCTGTGTCCGTGAAACGACAGAGGAGGAGCATGGAGATTGGTGAACGACAAAATCTGGCAACTTTTTAGACAGTGGAACCTAGATTACATCACTATTTAGGTCAATAAAATTCGAAATTCTGATACAAAATAACAAAAAGATATTAGAAAGACAAAAATATATTACCTGCACACCATGATTCCATTCCTCTTTCCAACGATCACTCATTGATACAAATACTGTCTCATCATCCGATGATGCATCGCTATCCTCTTCTTGTTTCATTCTATGTAATAAATCCGTTCTGTATAATTCTGATGGGACTCCGCCTAAAAGACATGCACAAAACATTGGAAAGAAATTAAAATGAAATAAAGGATATTTGGGGAAAAAATTGGCAGCAAGCACTTTCAATTAGATTTTCAAACAAAAATATTCGCTTTCTTTTATTCACTCACCATCAGCAACGATATAAAATTTCCGCTTTGCCAAATACTGTCCACCATCCGAATCATCCTTATCTTTTGTAAAGTCTGAAAAACTACAGAAATGTTAAAGACACATCAGCATACACAGCCAATAATAATAAACTCCTACTTTCCCAAAAGGCTTAAAAAATCTTAATACTATCCAACAATATATGAAACCAAGAATTAGTGCAAACTGTCTATTAAAAATTCAAAAATACAGGAACCCATCTGCAATTATATTCCTTACAGTAATGAATTTCATGAAAACAAAAAGCAGGCTGATAACAGATTTTGAGTTATAAACGAACCCGTAGAAAAATCGTGACGTTGAGAAAAACTGTCCACATCTCCAACAGCTTCATTTCGAGAAACACGTGGTAAACGATGAGGAATGACTGCTCTATTAACATCTAAAAATTGGTTAATTGCAAAAAAAAAAAAAAAAAAAACTGAATAAGAAATTTAAAATACGAAGTGAAACTTATTATTTCATGAGACACCCTAAAGTCTACGTATCAGTTAACAATATGAAATGCCGTTTATAACATAAAATGGAAATGAAATTCCATAATTCACAACCAACTCATAGAAAAAGATTTCAGACAAAGCAAATAAACTGTGACGAAGATCCCCGCCTTTTCTGAATGTCTTTATAAGCTTCAGCCTAAACTTTTCTAATAGTTACAAGAACCTTATTCCAAATAGATCAAAGAGATTTTTTAGCTAAAGTATCCATACGTTCAATATTTGATAGCTATACCTGCATTTTAATCAGTTAATATAATGGAAGTAAACCTTTTTTGATGATTGGTGCTTCCTCTTCGCTGGGACAGATTTGACTGTCGTTCAAGGATGCCGTACATCGTCTGCGTAAACGTCCACGTATCCCGACAACTCCATTTCTCATCGCCACTTCTAAATAGCAGCATTCACAGTGATTTTACAAAACGGATTGAAGAAACATTTAGTCACTATGAAATGAATTTTTGGTCATTATGTGGTGGCAAAGTCACTGGTAAACACGTATCGGCATATATCCATACTACAGCAGTAAACAATTTCTAACGATCAGCTCTCAAGTATCGAGTTGAAATTCCCAATAAAATATTGAAACTCTCAGTAAATCCACAGATAATCAATTCATAACATAGTGCAAATAGTCACGCACGTGAGAACTAATGAAAATGAGAGGTCAACCGCTAAATTTAGATTTAAATTAACGAACGAGGAAGTAAATTTGAAGTATGCAAAAAGTGTTGTGTACACACACACACACACACACGCATACACGTACAGACACACACACACACCCTCAGAGAAAGGACGAAACCTAGGAAGTTGGCTCACATTCAATTTTCCTCATGAAATATTTGAAACCATCCGGTTGAAACTCCCAACCACTGCTGCAACTCAATAATATTTAATTTTTGATGCAGAATACAGTAAAAAAAAAACATTTTCTTTGCATTAGTGCCCAGAAAATAATGGAAACATTTCGTTTCGGAATCATTATTTTTACAAGAATTAAACTTGCTGTATTTGAAAGATTTAGATTAAATAATGGTATAAATTTAATAATTAATTTAATTAGTAAATGAAGTGATATTTTTATTCTTTTGCATTCCCTTTTTTTGTTATTAAAAGAAATTTATGGATCAGTAATAATTGGACAGAATGAAGAATAGGGTGAGATGATCAAGTAATAAATCCCAATTGAATTCCTTTTTTCCAGATCAGTTAGCTTCCACTGCTAGCTCGACATCCTTTCAATACAGCAAACACAACAGCAGATTGATGATGTGAAGGAGCCCAGGACAATACAACGCAGTGAGCCAAGCAATTGGCCCAGTGAGCCTAGACATAACATCAGACGTGTATGCAGCACTGTCACTATCAATTCTTATTTCATCCTCCAATCTACTCTTAACATAGTGACAACCACATTATTATGGTTCGATTAACTGAATCAATTGTTTATAGTCGTACCAGAATTACCGTCGAATGTGTTCGAAAGTTGAATTTATGGTAATTTTCTGACTTTCTTAAACTTTACTTTGAAAAATGACTGATTAAATGTGTTTGTTTGTTTATTAACGTTCATTTTTTATTTATATTTATTCCAATTTATATTTGTAATCATTTATTTATAATTTTTAATCTGTATTCAATTATTAATTACATACTATTATTTGCTCGATGACAACATATATGTATTCCTGCGAAATATAACTTGCATTGAAAAAATCTTCCAATTTTATAACCACTTAATATAACGTCATTATAAATCATGAAACAGTATGTGGTATACGTGACGTCAAGTCTACTGTATCTTCAATATACATATTTCAGGGGTTGTGATATTGATAACATCGATCTCTGCTCTCAGATGATTAATTTGCAGATCCTTTCTCTTAGGTTTTTTCTTCTTGCTTGTCTTCAATAAATTTACGAGAAAAAAGAGGGAGAGAGAATGTGATAAATCATTGATTAAGATGCATTGTGAATTGAGACGTATAAATCAGTAATTAAAGTATGTAGTATAAAAATCCACTGATAGTCTATGTTTAATTAAAGCATATAGTTTATTCATTAAGATAACTAGTCCGCTGATCTCAGTTAATATAAAGTATGATAATTTTTAGTATGAACAGAGTGAAATGTTTAAAACCGTTGGAGAATTGTATGCAGCTAGAAGAATTATATCTTCGGAAAAATGAAATTAGCAGTTTAAATGAATTGGAGCATCTGAGAAATCTGAAGCTGTTGAGAATTCTTTGGATTGATGAAAATCCATGCACGGCTGACAACAAGCATCGTGCGAAAGTTTTGCGAATTTTACCTAACCTTACACGTTTGGATGACAAACGTAAGTAAATCTATTATGCATATCAGTATGGAGTGGAATTAAAATATAAATCTTAAATTATTAACATTAGTCTATAATGGTGACAAGGACGCAATAGCAGCGTTTTCTACTCTATATATATATATATACATTAGTTTACATACTTTTTTTTTTTTTTTTTTATATGATGTATTTTTTTAGTTTAATTTTAGTCTATAGAGAAGGCAAATATTGTTAACTTTTTATTATGCAATTATAAAATAGACTGGTTATCATTATCCAACTGCTTTTGCGGTTCTTGTCACCATTATTCAACTACGTTGCGATCCTTGTCACTATTATTCAGCTGATATTGCTTGTCACCATTATTCAACTGCTTTTCCGATCTTTGTCACCATTATTCAGCTGCTATTGCGTTCCTTGTCATCATTATTCAACTGCTATTGCTTTCCTTGTCATCGTTAGCGATCCTTGTTACCATTATTTGGCTAACATCGAAATAATTGCGGTTGACATCCATCACTGGATGTATAATTTTGGTGTGTAATTATCTAATAGTCATAAGGACTCCATTCTACATTCTTAACTTTTTTTTTTTTTTCAGAGGTAACAATTGATGAACTACTGAATGCTACTGAAATTAATTGGGAAAATGATCAGAGAACAGTTATTGATAAAATTATTCCGAATCATCCTCGTATTCAAGAATTAATGCCTAATCATTTAACCCATAATCCGGGACACATTAAGCAACAATCCCCGAAACAAATGGAGGCATTCGTGTATGAAGAAAATATTGAAATACAGAATGATAATCGAAATTTATGGCAAGATTTTAAGCAAACATTTATGTAATGTTAAGCAACATATACAGTGAATTTTATTTGGTTTGGGAGAGCTTTGGTTTTGTACATTCAAAACTTTGATGAAGGTTCTTTTTTTACTCGTAGATTCTGGAGAGAATTGCTTGGTCAGGTTAAAGACTTCGGGTTTAATTTTACTGACGAGTATTTGTTTGGGTTTGAGAGAGCTTTGGTTTTGTATAGTCGAAAGTTGTTAAAGTCGAAGAAGGCAAAGAGTAAAAATTTATAGTAAATCTCACACATCTCTCACATACAAATATATATGTTAGAATGGAAGTGGTTTGCAGTATATAATAGATCCTCTCAGATGCAGGAATTGGTTTGTGAACGAAAACTATGCTAAAAATATCTAATACGATTGACTAAAGGATAGGGAATTCTACATGTGTAATATTTTCGGTATTCTAGCCATTAATAATGATTATGAATAAAAAAAAAAAAGATGGGAAATCAAAATTATATCAAGATAAACAAAAAACGCATGAGGAAATGGCTCAATAAGAAATGAGAAATTGATAAACGATTCATAATATTGTTTATCCTAACACTTAGATTCAATTTGTACGATTGATTTTCACACGAAATTATTTGTTTCAATTTAATGTGAATATGAAATTCACAATATTCGAAATTTCTGAAAAATATTACATAAGTTGGTGAATATTCGGAGTTTTGTTTCAAAAAAAGTCGCAATTAAAATTTAATTGATTGGTTGTCCATCAAGGAATTATTAGTAAAAGTTAGTGGGAAAAGAATATTGTATACATAGCTGATATTTATAAAATTATCTTGACTTTTTACTTTAAATTTTTAAAGTAAACAAAATTGGATTTTTAACGTGTAATGCACAACATTATCACGTCCTTTTTTCCTGTTTTGTTTAAAATTTCGATCGATATTAGGTATAACAAATAGTTTTATCAAATTGAATAAGTTTTACTCAGAATACGAGACTAAATGTTTCATTTTCTTCCTTGTATATTTTACTGTGATTTTACATTATTGAATAATTTCGTTTCAAATTATAATTTCAGGAAGTTTTTTTTAACGTACTAATTGTCATTGATAAGCTGTAAAACAGAACTGGTTGATTTTAAACAATAAGACAATAAAGTGATTACGTATAATTACTTCAATATTACTTTTATATTGAAAATCTTTGCATTACTGTCACTAAAAAGAATTATTATTTTCCAGCTTAGAAGTGTCATCATCTGATAAGGTGAATCCGATGATGTTTCATAGTATGCAAGATATGCCTCATGATTTCAAGCAATTTCACAATTCGCATTTGTCGCAACAGCGTAGTATCAGCCTTCCAAGATCAACGTCATATTCAACACTTGTAAGTTAAATTAAAAATTTTTTCCCTTTATATTGTGAACATTTGCTTTAATCTAAGCATACTAATCATTTAAAATGTCAGTAAAATTTAAAAGATTCTAATTTGCAGCGTCATCGGAAAACACGAATTATTTCCGCTATTAGAGTATTACTAGATGAACTTGATGCAGATGGGCTTCATGACGTTGTGGATGAAGCGCAAAACAGGATTAAGAAATTAAGGTGACTATAAGGATAAATGATATTAAAAATATTGATAATGATACTAATAATTAAATGATGCTTATCTACTGTTTGTACAATATAGAATTAATAGCAATGCATTTACTATTGTATGGGTTCGATTAAAAAAATTTTTTTCTCGCTTTTTATTCTCTTCGATTCTAGAAACTGCTCATTTTCAAAATTTTTTTCTACCATGCAGTTTGTTGCACTTTCATCATTCAGCAAGTGTACAGATAATATCATAAAGAGGAAATTGGTAGAAAACTAGATTAAATTTTTCATCAAAAGAAAAGAAAAAAGCTAAATAGGTTGAATTGGTAATAATACGTCTTAATATTTTCCAAGCACCTACCTCTTATCTTGTTTGATAGATGATTATGCATCTTTTACTTCATCTTTTTTAAAAAGAAAAAGAACTATCAGTTCCAAAAAAAAGGAATGATTTGGTAACATTTTCTCCACTTTGCTTGCTATCCGTTTCATTCATTTTTAGTTGATCTTTTCCAGTTGTGACATTGTTGCAAATTGAAGACTGATTAAATATTTACAAACGTATCGATAATAAAATGTTGCAAGTTGATAAATTAGAAGGTGTCGTTAAGTAAGTCAACTAGTTACAACTGAAATTGAATAGTTAAATTGGGATGTTGTATAATTATGAAGTAAAAGTAAATAAATGATAACTAAAACAAACTAATAATTTTTATTGAAAATGAATTAATATTTATTGAAAGGAGAATCGGCTACTTTCCTTTTTTGTTTATAAATTTCAACAAATTAACAAAGTTTTGTCATGTCCAAAAAAAAGGAAATTTAGAAATATGAAATGAAAAGAGATATCTTTTGCTTTGTACAAGATGGTATATATAACGGGTAGTTCTCCCACATTTTCTGAAACTTTTTCCGCTCATACCAGGCCAAGGCCATCAATACTACTACTACTACCACTGCTACTGTTTCTGCTACTACTACTACTACTACTATAATATATACACACCATGTGCAAAGTCATTTTCATACTCCGTTTTCTTCATTTCCTCATTTTGTGGCGGCCTTTTTCTTCCCTCATTCTTCTTTCTACTATTTCCGCCTCTCCTCCGCCGGGTTTCCATTTTTCCGTTCATTCTCTTCGCTTAATCCCATATACAGCAAATAATTTGTTCCGCTATTGCTGAGCTATTTTTGCTCTTATTTCCTTGTTCATTCTCACTTTCCAGGATTATGCTACAACTCTTTCCGGTTCTACAATTTCTTCTTAACTTCTTCCTGGTATGTCCTTTAACGAAAACGAAAAAAACTTTCTAAGTTATATGTTTATTGTGACTACTCGACAAATCAAATTCTTAATAAAAATATAAAAAAAAAGGAAAATAAAGAGAAAACATTTGCTATCGATGTCAGAAGAACTTTTTATATTTTAATGATATCTAAAAATGATAACATATAAAACTGATGCTATGTCAATTAAACAAATAAATAAATTTATATAATTTTGATCATTGATTTATTACTTTCAGTCTGTTACGGCGAAAACAATCGATAATAAATTAATAGGTTAGTTTTATAGTGCTTCTACTTAGGTTCCATTTTCAAACATTAGAAATATTATCAGTTTTAAAGAAAAATGAAAATTTGCATTTAAACCCATATTTTGTTTAAAAATTTCTCCTTTCTTTCTATTAAAATGAATCAATGTTCCCTTGAATTTTTATGCTTCTCTTTGCATATAAAATTTTTAGAGAAATTCTTTGAAGGAATTTTAAAAATTTGAAGTAATAAAAAATTTAATGGTGTTATAGGAATGCCTGAAGCAGTATGCGGACCGGAGAATATAACGATCGAAGGTACAACCGAAGAATCATTTGAAGGTGTTGTTTTCATCAAGAATTGGCGACGGAGCAACGGATGCGCTGCGATCTATACACTCAACGAAAACACTACGACACCGTCACTTTCAATTCCCATAAATCGTATAGGTCAATGTGGTTTGGTGTTACGAAGGAATGTAAGTACAGTATCACTTAGATAGTATAATTAATTATCAGTTAGCATATTCTCGCTGATAAGATAGCTTATATAAATGATAAGGTGGTAAAGTAGCTATTGCAGTGGTAAATAAAATTCATAGGGCAATCATAGAAGCAATAAAAAAAAAACTGTATCGGTGATAAGACAGCTACTTCAGTGATAAAATGAGTGATAAAAAAACTATTACTGTAATAAAGCAAATATATGAACAATAAATTGGTTATTTCAATCTATTGAAAATTAGGTGTGACAAGTATTTTGATTTTAAAGTAATTCGTAGTGAACAAATTTGAATGTAACGGGAATAACAGTGATATAAATATAAGAAATAATATTTCAATATTGGAACATTTGCTCTAAGAATGTATCATTGCGTTATTTACCTATATTTATGAGGTAATTTATTATCACTTACTAATGATAAGCATATGTCATTAACATACAACTAGTTAGCAATAAATCATTATCACATTTAAAATGTAAATGTGAACTAAAGGAAAAAACGCGAAGTATTTTTACATCATAGGTCAGCTGCAAACATTGTTTTAATTACACCAATTTCAATTGAGCAAAATGACTTATTAACTAATATTTTATATTTATCAAATAAGATTAGTCTTATAAACCAGAAAAGAATAACAATTATGTTTTTTTTTTTTTTTTTAATTTGAAATTTCTTTCTTTTTTGTTAGCATATCCATTACAGGTAGCAAAATTTTACTATTAAAAGTAATAAAACTTACTAATTGATAAACTTCCTACTTTTATTCCTAACAGCAAATAATTATAAGCTAATTTCAATAATAAAATACATAAGCATACTGCTCAAGCAACTTCCTTTACCTTAATTTATATTACTAATAGTAATAACATACAATCAATATCGACCAACTGTTCATCTTTACAATGTTTTAATCAAATTTAATTTCTTTTCGAAGATTAATATTTCATAAAATTTATCAGTAAACTAAACATATTATAAAATTAAATAATCTTAATTCGAATAAGCCAAATAGATTGAAAAAAATGAGCTAAACTGAATTTAAAAAAAAAAAAATCGTATGGAACATAAATAAACTTCAGATATTTTGAGTATAATAAAATTAATCATTATTTTTAATTAATAATAAAAAATTGATTCGACTGGAAATGAATTCATTCGAATTTCAATTGTAGTAGAATTATAAAATTAATTCATTTGCTGTAACCACTGCCTCTAAAATAATTTCTATCGAAGAATTCATTACACGTAATTAATTCCAATTAGCAAAGAGCATTCCTTTGTAATTATTACTTATTGAGGCTCAGGTGATTGTTTTTTTCTACTAGGGTCAAGGTTATCAGTTTTGCTTGAAGATTAATTGTGATGCATTAAAATTGGGTCGTCCCTTTTCATCTTTTTCCCTTTCTCTCGTTCTCTCTTTCTAGTGTACTTGCGACAAAATTAATTAAATGTTAATGAAATCCCCTCATTACTCAATATTAATGAAAATCCAAATTTACTATTTTCATATATAGGAAAAAGAAAATAAAACATACAAATATAATTGAGTAGCAAATTCTAATTCATAAAGTATTTCATTCTATTCAAAAATTCAAATTATTTCAATTCATTTGATTTTCTCAAATGATTCCTAATTTTCTAAATTGTCTAAAATCAAAAAATTTTACCAAAAGTAAACATTTGCAAATAACTGTCTCTTATTATTTGCTCTTTCTTATATGGAACAATAAAGTGATTACTGTAACAATAATAACGAATGCATAACAATGTTAGCTGACATTTTTAAAAATAAAGAAAGAAGTTCTTTTTTAATGAATTCGAATTATTTGAACTTTTATTAGAACGAAATATTTTTTTGTTTTTTATTTCTTCTCAGTTTATCACTGCATAACTGATACTGTAATGATAGAGTAATTGAATTGATAAATGAGCGGTAAATTATAAATTTGTAGAGTTAAATTTATGAATTTTTTACTGACATCTTTTCTTAAATTTATTTAAGCTAAGAAATAAGTGATTTAATTATCTTCAAATTAAGAAAAAGAAAAAAACACTTTCTTTTAATGCATTGGAGTTCGAAAAAAATGAGAGAATATTGTCATAGTTAATTCTAACCCAATTACTTAATTTTAATTCAAATATCTGTTACTGATTATTTTATTAATAGCTTAGGAATTGTACTGAGACTTTTAAAGCACATTAACTAATATAATGTGTTTTTTTTTTTTTCGAAAAACTTATTTTGTATTATTGAGAGCACCGTTAGTTTAATATGCTGGAAATATTATCTTTTTTTTTTTCTAACAAATATTATCAAAAAAATGAAATTAAAATAAAATAAAATTTTTAATGGAAACGAAGTGAGACAAATTTCTGATGTTAAATTATTTCACTAATATACTGATAATTATCACCGCTTTCTTATCACTACAAACATCATGCTAAATAAGTAATTTTCGTCTCTATTGCTATAACAACTTTTGAAAACAAAAAAATTTTTAAAAACTTCAAAAAAAAAAAATAAATAGACTACATTTTATTTAATTGAAAAATTATCAGAGAAATAAGTGTTAGCATCAGAAATTTTTGTTAATAATTAATTTATCGTGGAGCAATTACAGTAACATAGAGCATAAATATTTCTACAATTGCTTTATCTTTAAAATTCGTTATTTAAGTACTAATTCCAGTATAATTTCAATTCTTTATTTTGTCACTCACTTTTTCATCCTTTTCGAATACTCATGTTAATTAGTACATTCCATTTATATCTTGTCGATTTTCCAACAGAGATGCTTATTCAACGGTTTATTTAGGATAAATTAAATTAGTATTTTCTTCAAAAAAAAAAAGAGAGGAAAAAGTGTTTTAATTTTAGTCTGAAACAAAAGAAGTTGAAATATTTGTGGTATTCGTCTTCAGTTTTCATCCAAATTTTGTGACTGCCGACGATCGTTCTTTTGCGGTACATTGCATTTTTCAACAGCAATCTTTCAAGGTCGCAACCAAATTCAATTTCATAGCGTATGTTAATTTCGACATTTTTGTAAATTTTATTATTCTAATATTAGAAAAAAGCAAAGAAAAAAATTGGAATTTCTATTTTATATTTTCTTTCTTTTTTCTTTTGCATTATTTCCATTTTTTTTTTTTGAAAAATAATTGTTTTTTTTTTTTCAAACTTTTTAAATATTCTATGATTAGGTTTTTCGTTTATTGGTTTAAGCATTTTATTGTGAATTGTAGTTTAATTGCTGACAAAATGAAAACATAAAAGATATAAATAATAGAATGAAATAGTGAACGCTTTCAAATTATTATTGTTATTATTATTTGATATAACTAATCAATTGGAGTAAATAATAAAGCAGTATTGATTTTACATTAATAAGTATCGCCGCCAGCAATAAAATTGGAAGGATTTTAAATTTAATAATGTAAAAGTAATGGACTGTACAAATTTATCAATTCTATCCTTAGCAATAAGAAAGATGCAAAACCATTAATTAAAATATATTTTGAGATATTCAAATTTCTTTAAAAATTGGTTCAAAATTGTGCAATGTTTGTAGAGAAAAGAGTACAAGTGGTGTAATTAATGGAATAGCTGATATACCAATTATGAAATTAACGGTTGTTCAGGGACGTGTACCGGATCCAAATATGGAACCGGCACGATTAGTCTCTGTTGGTGAACCATTGATGTACATTTGGCATTTGAACTCTAAAGCAGGTAAATTAAACTGTTTCACCAATAATTTCTGTTATAAAAAACAGAATTGTGTTGCTTGAAATTTTGAATCAATTAATTAGTGAATGTATCATTAGTACAGGTATTTACGGTGTATGGATAAAGGAATGTTCAGTGGAAGCAGAAGATGGCCGTAAGATGAAAATAATCGAAAATGGATGCTCCTTGGATTCTGTTATTGTATCAAATGTACAGTACCCAGAAAATAACCTTAAGGTTTATAATCTTAAGAAAAAAAAATAATCTTAAGGTCAAGGACATATTGTTGTCAATTATATTGTAACTTCAAACGAACATATCATGAGGAAAAAAAAAGGAAGAAACATGAAAAAATTGGCTGATAAATGAGTTAGAAAAGAAGAAAGAGAAAAAGAACGAATTTAAAATCTGTACAAATTAATTAAGATAATTTAATAAAATTAACTGTTTATCTCTTCGCTTTTCTTCCTACTTCATAAAAATACAAGAACAATTAATTACTTGCAATCGATTAAGTAAAGTTTAAAAAAAAATTTTTTTAAATTGCAAGTCTATCCGAATTTTTATTAATGAAGTTTTAAAAAGACATGATAAAAGGAAGAGAAAATAATTATTCTTATCATTGATGTGCCAGAAAATGAATGATCATTTCAGGCATTTGCTGACGGATTGGCATTTAAATTTCCGGATGCTGATGAAGTATGGATATCATGTGCAGTTGCTACATGTTTGCGAAAATTCGATCAATTTATTGTCACTAATAGTACTGATTATTTGTGTCCTAAACAACCAGTAAGCCTTACTTACACTTCAATTTACAGTGATAATTCCGTTGTTGTTTAAATTATTTAACTTACACTCTTGATTTTTTTTTTTCAGTTATTCCTCCATCATTAATTCAGCAATTGTTATTTGCATCAAAATAAAAAACTGAGGGAAAAGTTTTATATTTCCTTTTTTCTCTCTCTCCCTTTCTCATTGTTTTCATCTTCATTTCTATCACATTTCTAATGATTCAATTTTTTTCTTTTACTTAAATAACAGATAGACTTATACACCTCTGATCTTACAATATATCATAAACAGCATTCTTTATTTCTCCTTTATAAGTGAAAATTACATTGCAAATGAAATACATAACACTTATTATATGTATATTAATTTCTCTCCTCCTTCATATTTCTACAGGATTGCTCTAAACGAATAAAACGATCGATGGAAAAAGAAGAGAAGAGAATTGAAATTTATTCAACAGACAACTTAGTACATCATAAGCTTCATGTCACTGATCAACCTGTTCATACCTTACCTTATCAAAGTAATCCCTTCTCTTCACCTTCGTTTCTTTATGCAAACATTTTGAGACTATTCAAAGGATTTGAACCGAGTAAACAAAATCGGAAAAAAATAACCTAAAAAACATATAATGGGATAGGTTTAATCGAACATTTCTGACAACTCGTCATTTAAATTTCTCTTTTAAATTCATATTAATAGTTGCATAATTTCAAGCGAGATTTTATATAATTTCAGGTATGGGAGAGAAGACATTGAGGCTCTATAATGGAATTTGTATTAATAAGAAATTTTTTGCCGGAACATTTGCTGCCTTAACAACGGCATATTTGGCTACAATAACGGTAGCGGGTAGTTTTGGCTTATCGATCTATCGATCTCAGAGTAAACAATAAAGTTTAAACTCGGTGATATTTTATGTGTATTGTATAAAATTTACATACGGAAAGAGTTAAATTTTCATATACTAAAATTGGAAATGATTCAAAAGTAGTACATTATGCTAATTGTTTCAACGATTCGACTTATCTGTTCATATCGATTTAAAACAGCCTTTACACGATTGTCAACAATGTTAATGCCATTTAGCAATAAAATCAGAAATTTCGCATTTCACTAAAATCTCGTTAATATCTGCTGCAGTCTTCTTCAAATTATTTATTAAAACGCAAAACAAAATAGCTGGTCATCAGAATTTTTATTCACTTCTTTGCTTCTGTTCCTGGAACGAAATATTTTTTGTCAATCCTTTGGCAAAATTCAGTTAAATTTGAATATCGACGAAGACAATTTTTTAATTCCATATTCGGCAGTTCTGTTGTCAGAATGGTATAGAAATGACCGAATGCCAATGCATCTAGTTCAGTTGGTGAATCACCGAAGAAGTATCTTAAATGAAGTGGAAACTGAGAATGTTTTTAAGAATCAATAAAGTATCGAATATACAGTAGAACGAACATTCATGTCACAACCTCATAATCCATATTTTGATTTCAAATTCATAATTTCTTTTCAGCTTAATATTGGAAAAAAAAAGACTAAAAAAGAAAACTAACTCATTGTGGTCAAGTTTCGACGACATACTTTTGAAGCAGCGATCTGCTAAATCCATTACACATTCCTGTGACTTACTTTTCCAATCTACAGCAGTTAAATAGTTATTCACTTCACGCCATTTCACTCGTGGTAAAATTAGATTCAACGGAAACAGATAAACTGATCCGTACCTGCATTTCGTTACCTGAGAATAATTCCTCTTGTCCATCCACATAACATACATCTATAACTGAATAATCTTGTTATATAAATTAAAAAGACGAAAGTACAATTAAAGTTCCAGAAAAGTCAAGAGTACATTTACGGTAAAATTTCAGCAGTTCTGTTAAAAAAGAGCACTCATAGCAGTCAAAAACAAAGCTTTCAATAGAGCATGAATACCTGAAATTTGCAAACTGAATGCTACCTCGACATTTTTAAGAATGTCATCGAAAAGAGCCATATGTGCATGCATGTCTCCTCGTTCTAGATCTGTCAAGCCTGCTGATAATTTTACATTCTGCAAGAAAAATTATCTTAAATGTTTGATCATATACAATAATCTCAATTATGGTTTAAATTCTAAAATCAAAAAATGCTGAGCTTCAATTAACGAAAGTTCAGAGTATACTGTTTCTATTTGAAGAAAAAGATAATTAGCGCAAAGCCTCTACACTTACACGTTTCGCGAGAAAATCAACAACTGGTAAAAATTCGGATACCAGGAATGATTGCAACTTCAGGAAAGGTACTTTTCCGGTTGGTGACATGAATTCAGCATTCGGACGCTCTTCCAAGCGAACTGGTAAGTTTGCCATTTTTAACAATGTTTGTACAGCTACGCAATCAGCATACTATAAATGCATATTCACTGGTTATAATTAAAGCAAATGCTATGCCAGGATTTTATTTTGCATTTTAACTTTAAAACTCAACAAAATATCAACAAACTTCATAAAGAAGGGCTTGTGTATAATACGGCGTGTACAGCACAGCACCACTCCAATCGACATCAATTTCAGATGATAGACTATCGGCAACAAGATCGGTCATGAAGTAGCTCCCCGTCATCGTTCTATATTAACAATTCCAGATCACCTACAAATTTCTCATGCAGATTTATGAATAACAAACTAATAAAATCCTTACCATTAAAATATATTTTTATCATCTTACATAAATGATCATTGATTTGCGGAAGAGTTAATGGTTAAACCTGAAACTTATAGAATGGAAGCAATTTGGACACTCACTGTCATCCTCTCTTGACTAAAGTAAACAGTTGATAAGTACTGCTTTGAAAATAATGTTTTGTTAATGGTTTCCGACCAGATAAAATAAGTGATAAGAAGAATAAGTCTGACTAATCAGTTTAAATGCTAGCAAATTTCAATCTGTTATGGACTTAAGTACTATGAATCTGTATAAACAACAGAAACTGTGAAGTAAATTTAATGGTATGCACTGGAAGTAATTTATTGGATAGTGAAAACAACAACAATAACAATTCACCACGTTTACAAACTCGAAGTTTAAAGTCTTGAAGAAAATTATAGAACTGCAACAATGATTTCATGATTTCGTAACTTTCTTCCATCGCTTTTTGAAACTTCCATTCTTCCTGATGCTCGCCTAAAGAAATCATTAGGAAAATTCAAATCTATTAAGATTAATTTATTAAAAATGATAAACTATTAAGCATGAATAGCGGATGCCTGTTCAGATAATGTGTGTTATTCTTACTTTGAAGTGACACATATGAATTATAAGTTAGAGACAGAAACCGTTTTCCAACATTTTCCGTAATTTGAATAAATCAATTTTCTAACCAATATGATTTATTTCTCGGTATGTAATATTACTTGTCATTTTAAAATTTTGATTTGTAACCGAAAAACTACCTTTTGTGTATTTTGTAAAGTTTCTTTAAGCTTTGTTAATGCTTGTCCATATAGTTCTCCTGTTTCAGCATCTTTCACACCTTCAAAATTCCTTTCTTTAACCTTTCCGGTAAAAGAAACTGTTTGAAGGGTAGCTTGGAAATCTTTTTTCTGAAAATGCAGACAGATATGCTTAAGTCTAAAGAAAAAGTGAAAACAATGAAGAATATGAAAAGGAAATAACAAAACACTACTTCTTTAGCTGTAATAAGGAAAATGGCTCTTCCCTTCTTGCCACATCTTGCTGTTCGCCCCACTCGATGAACAAATAATTTCTCATTAAGTGGTCTATCATAATTAATTACGACATCAATGTCCATAACATCAATCCCGCGAGACAAGACATCACTTGAAATAAGCACTCTTGTGGTTCCTTTTCTAAACCTAAAATAATTTTTTAAGTAAAGAATGGATTAAGTTACTCAATACCTTCCAAAAAAAGTCAATATTACCGTTAGCGAAGAAAATTTTATCTTTTAAAAAAATTGTTTGGTATCGAAGGTAACTATAAATTTCATGTTTATCAACATACAAAAAAATAAAGCCAGATACATTAACAAATCAGATTCCACACCTTGCTAATACTTTCTGTCGACGATTACCAAAAAGATTTGATGAGAGTTCTTCGACTTGATACTTCCCAACACTAAGCATTTTCAATAGTACTGCGAGTCGATAGCTAGCTAACCTAAAAATAGAAAGGAACCAGAATTTCTGCCAAGTCCTCAAAACAATTTTCAAGGAATCGTAATAAAAACATCCTTTCTTTAGTTTCTAGTGATTCTATGTAAACCTCTAGTGTTTATATAAAAGCACACTTTCATAAATGGCGTCAATTTTAAAGTGCTTACTTGCTGTTAACAAATATTAAAATTTTTTTCCAAGATTTTCGTCCCTCGATTCGTTCATGTGTTACAAGCGGTTTGAATTTTGTATCACAAACAATATACTCGATCTTTAATGAGTTTGGGATGATAACACTGTTCAAGCTTAACTCATTCGTTACGACAACATCTTCTTTCACTGCTCTGCAAAAGAAATATCGTCCAATACTGAATAAACAATCAAATTGGAAGAATTTAGAAATACGTGAAGTAAGGATCGAAAAAAGAGATAAGAAGGTGAATAATTCATGGTAGGAATGAAACAATAGTCGGCAGAATTAAAACAAGAGTTGAGTAAGAGTATATAAAATTCATACTTGAATAGACAAGGATGCCGAAGACGCCATTCATGCAGGTCTTCAACATCTAAAGATAAGGTAGCAGACAAGAGTATCTTTTGCAAGAAACTTGCGTTATAAAGATCATCAATTGTGACACAGTTATGATTATCTGTAAAATAAAACAACTTTTGGTGGCATTTTTGACCTTCGAGTAGCGTTATTTCAACCAAATTTCCAACAAATGCGGTAATTACTCAACTAAAATCTGATCCTACGGATAAATATTTTTTAATTGAAAAAGGCTATCAATAAACATGTGATATCATCTTATTAAAAACAGATTTACTCATCACTTATGTATTTTCGTCACTTTCTTCCAAGAACTACCACTAGTAACACTGTCGCCTAAAAATATGTCTTATGAACCTTTGAATAACTTCATATCTTCCTAATCATAGAGAAAAAAATCATTTAAGTACTGTTAATGAGCAAGATAACACATCACAGCTATCTAGAAAGAGCTATGCTACTGAAATGAGTAAATTATTTTTATCCTGATTTCAAGGTTCTTTTAAAACTTTACACAAAATAATTACAATTCGCAGCAGCTTCGAGATTGTTAAGCCATTCGATACGAGCTGTATGTGACATGCGATCTGCTTCATCCACTACTAAATATCTGAAAAGTTTTTGGAAAATTTCCAGTAAAATAACAGGTATTATAAGTTTCATATTACTAAAAATGATTTTTTAAACAAAGAAACAACCGACAATGCTGACAAATTTGAAATTTTGCTTCATTATAGAAGCAAATATCTGGAGAATCCTAATAAATTCTCACAAAGTTTAACTAATTCCAATTTTCAAGAAAACTTGCCAATTACAAACCTTAAGTGTGTAAAATCGGCCGGAAAATCCAGATCAGTTATGTGCTCCATCAAACGACCTGGCGTTGCTATCACTATATTTGCACTTTCGAGCTGCTGTCTTTCAACATTAACATCATGACTACCGCAAAGTGAAACGATACACACATTGAAAACGTTATATTTTTTGAACTCCTGGAAAGCGGTTGCTATAACAGTAGTATCAACAATCATTACATAAACCCGATCCTTACATTTATCTAATGCATACCTTTTCTATTTGATCAACAAGATTCTGTACTGGTACTACAATCAGTGCAAAAAGACAATCCATCATTGTGCATGCACGCAAGGCATTTAAAATTGGAATTACATAACACAAAGTTTTACCACTACCCGTTGGAGAACTAATAACTAAATCTCTGAAAAAAAAAAAAAAAAACACATATACAGTTCCTATATCAAACACCAAAAACAACTGATGAATAAAAGCATAAGTAAATTTATAACCAGTTTGCTTAAAGTTTTCGACTAAAAAGTAGTCATTAGTGGCGGACAAAGCGATTATTTACCAATTATTCTTTGATACAAAATGATAAACAGTTTGAAAAATTATCAGATGGAAAATTCCTTGCATAAATAACTAGCAGAAAAGCTATCATTAATCAAATGTAAAATATATATTCGTTCCATCACCGACATCATCTTTCATTATTTGATAAACGTTTAACTCAAATTTTAAAACCTTGGAGGAAAAATCGAACAAGTGTTGGTTGCAGCCACGAGATGTGGAAGAACTGTCCGCTGGACAGGATACCATTGCCTGAGGTGCTCTCTGACACGACATGCAAGTAAAGGGTGTAAACCTTTGACAAAATCAAGCTCTGCACAACTTTCTTTATTCAGTTCCGATGCAAATGTTTCACCTTGTTTAACCCATGTTGGTACAACACTGGAAATTTACAAAATATTAGTAGCTTATTATAGTTATCCAATTATTGTTTCTGCTGTGTTCCTTTTCACTAAAGTCATAACTCCATTTTTTTTTCTCTCTCTCTCTTGGCTATCGAAGAAAACTTTAATAATTTCTGATGCTGTCCGAACTGGATAATTTCTTTACTTACTGGATTCTCTTTAAATTTACGAAAGTGTCATGTCCCAACACTTTGTAGGTATGTTCCTTCAATTCTTCGGCCTCACTTATTTCATCGTCTGAAATATCTGAAATACTTGTTCCTGGTCTTTCGTCATCCTTTTCATCAATTTCCATGATAATCCTTTAGCTGAAAATATTTTCAATCATTCATATATTATTCAAAGTCGATAATAATAGTACCGAGAAAAATCTCTAAATCTTCTATCCTAAAGATCGCTTTCCTATCCTCACGAAAGTTAAACGACAATATTTAAAAGTATATTCCGTTTCTGCTAAAGATGAGCAACAAATTCAGTAATAAAATAAATGATGAAATATCACAATAAAGGTAAGATATGTGCGGAAGGCAAACGAAATATTAAAAATATGTATCTTTATTTATGGTGAAGCACACTACATCAAAGAAAAAAAAGCGAAAACAATACATCCATTTAGTAAAATGTGAGGAAGTGCTAACAACAAATACTTTGCTGGGAATCATTTCAGATGCGTTTCTATAATATTAAGATCTTCAGTACTTTCACGAACTACGTCAACAACTCTTTCAAGCGCTTCCTGAGCTCGAGATAAGTATCTGAAAAAAAAAAAAAAAAATGAAAGTTACAGATTAATGCTTACTTTGGACAGATACAATATAACAAAAAATTAATTGTTCCTAATAATTAATCTAATGTATTTGTTTCGATTTCGAAAAGAAACTAGCAGCAGCAATTTCTGCCTATAAATTTCACATTCTTTCTGATAAGCATATTAAAAAAGGAACGAAATCAAATGCTGAACAAGATTAACCTTTTAATTTGTGTAACATCACTTTCAGTTAATCCCAGTTTTGTCCCACCTATTGCTTTCAAATTTTCTGCTTCATCACGCAAAGTCGCTAATAAATCATTAATTCGACTCTAAAACACAATAAAGGATTAGTAAAAAAAAAAAAAAAAACTATCATTCGTCATCTTATTTGAAGATATACACTGCGATTTGAAGAATTCATATTCATATACAATATTTCAACACAGCTAAAAATACAAATTAAAAACCTTGATTTGGTCCGGTGCTACAAGAGAAGCATTCAATGCTTCAAGACGTGTTTCGAGTTTCTCTTCAGCACTATCAATGCTAATTGTATATTGCTGAAGAAGGGATTGCATTGCTAAACAACGTAACAAACGATGCGATAATTCTTTATGTCTTTGTCTGAAAAAAACTGTAATAAAATCAAAATGCATTTGAGTAGAAAATAGAATGCAAAATATGGCGAGAAGCTTTTACTACTAAAACTTTTTTTTTTCATCAGTTTCAAAAATTCATTTCTTCGAAAAACGAACCGCTGATACGAACATTGATTTTGTCCCGTTATCAATTTACTATTAATTTGCATAAGTTTTTGATTTAGCTCTTCAACAATACGCTCCTCAAGACGTATCTCTGCTGCCTGAAAGAATTAATATAGTAGGAGCAGAGGGATTTATACTCATTTTATGCTCAATTTTTTTCTTATAGAATTCACAAAATTTGTTTCTCACAAAACTTGTTTAAAAGAAATTCACTGCCACATTCTTATTTTCACCTGTAATTCTTGTCTTTTACGTAATTGTTCAAAACCTCGGATAGGATAAGGAAGCAACTTATCAGGATCTGGATTTTCTCGCACAGCTTGCTGCCAAATCTGCGAATCGAATCCTAAACAAAAGGACAAATTAAAAAACACGGAAATTAAAAATTTATAAATTTTATGCCATAATTTTAAATGAACTTGTACCCGCTGGAGGATTTTTAATGAAAGCATGTTTCTTCGCATCATCCACTATTGTACGCGGAAGAATATTCACAACACAAAGCTGACTCTTCAATTGTATATCTTGCGTAGGTTGCTTCAAGAAAGCACACAATTCTTTGCTACTTGACCTGCCTTTGCCTTTCTCTGTTACATATAGTAGAACCTGAAAAAAACAAAACATGTTATTAGAATAGAATGAATTAGAATTGGTAATTAGAACTTGAATTTACAACAAGACAATGAAGAACCAATCCAGCCATTATGTCCAATTCTTCTCGTAGATATTAATATATTAGCTTGAAACTGAAACAGCTTACTTCAGTTTGATTATCAGGGAGTGGACGAATAAGTTCAATATGCGCTCGAACATTTGTATTATTGCCTAATATGAGGTTCATCGAATCTATGAATTTTTGCCGTTGAGTGGCTCTTGAAAGCTGCTCATAATTAATTCCTAGAGTCAAAGCTATAATACCATCGCTATCACAATAATCACTTCTTCTGAAAATAAGTTACCTAAACAATGCCTATTTTTAATGAATTACGAACTTTAAAAAGTATCTCAGCATACACTGATACTTCAAAACAAAATGAAATGCGAGACGGCCAATCCAAATGTACTTACTCGAAAAAAGTTCAAATTACTGCTTACCTACTATAACCAATCGCTTTAAACTGATAAAAAGGGTTTTCTGCTGTATAAGAAATAGGTTGTTGGTCGCCTTTATAATACCCATTACCAACTCCGCATGCAGACAAAAGCTGATTTAATTTCGCAACAATTCCATCTCTTTCATCCCCAAAAAGATCTGGTGATGTTAAAGATCGAATGAGATATTCTGAGTTCTAAAAATATACTTGTTGGGCTGCCAAAGAATTAAAAATTTGGGATTTTTTAAATCTATAAAACATCTAAACTAATATTTTAGGTATGGAAAAAAATTTAATCTCAAATCCTGCTTATATAACAAGAAATTTAACATTTTAAAATGAATATATTACTCTTTTTTAACTAAAGGAGAAGCAATCAAGAAATCATATGAAAAATAAATATAATAATGAATATAATGATTTTAATCGGAATGAATATCTATATTCCCTGTAATGTGATATTTAATCAAACTAAGCCATTGTCAATCAACAACAAAGTAGAAAGCCTTACAACAAAATCGTTAGTTCTGGAAAGCAAAATGCAACTCTACCTGTATCAAATCTTGCACTGTTGAGATTTGTGAAGCTTGTGCAGGTAATGCGGTTGAAGTACCTGGTAAACCAGCTGGTTTCGTCCCAGACGATAACAGAGTTGTTGAAGTTGTTGCCCCAGCTAAAAGCAGATCAGTTAAAACAGTTAGTTTAAATATATTCCAACACAAGAATGGACAACATTAAGATTTTTAACAGAATGAAGGAGAAGGGAAAACTAAAAGTCTGGTTTAATGAAACACCAAATAAAAAGATGACTTAAAACCCCGCTATTTATCCTTATTCTTCCAAACAAAAGTTGGATAATGATCGCTGATAATATCTGAAATTAAAAGTATTTGAAATCAAAATGCAAAATGTTCAAAACAATATGTGAAGCAATAGCTACTTTTCTAAGCCAACTACATTAGTTTAAAAAAAGACTACACATCAAATTTCAACAAAAGTTACGTTTTGAGCCAAATAATCCTCCAGATTGTGCAAAAGTGGATGTCGTTGTTGAGGCGCCGAACAAAGACGACTGTGTAGTCGTTGTGGAGCCAAATAATGGTTTATTGGTTGTACTGAAATAAACAACAATCTGATAACAATTGAAGTTTCTCATTTTATCAAAAATGAATAATAACAATCGAAATGAATATCTATATTTCCTGTACTGCAACGTGATATTTAGTCAAAGTAAGCCATTATCAATTTATTTAAACATTGTTTTTTTACTAACAAAGAAAAATATGACTAATATATGACCAATATAATTGACTTCATGGTCAAATGACCACGTGAGAGCTAAGGCTATCTCTTTAAATATTTTTGAGGGAAATTACACCGATTAATAATACATTTCTTTAAAATAAAAGGAAATAGTAGTGACCTTGAAGTTGCAGTTCCAAAGTTAAAAGCTGGTGTAGAAACTGAAGTACCAAAAGTTGCAGCTGAAGTAGTGCCTAGTTTCGATCCCCCGAACAAACTCATCGTTCTGATCTAAAAATGTATTCAAACTAACGGATTTTACATATCATCATATCATAACATTCCACTCATAAGGAGCATCGAATAATCCTAGGAACAAAAATTTGAATAAAATGGAAAAACAAATATATCACTAAATGCAAAACATGTATACAAGTACAAATATGAAAAACGCAAATATAAGCATGAACGAAAAACTTGGATATAAACATAAATATAATTAAAGATAAGTGAATATAAAATATAACTATAATTACATCTCTCGAATGGAGAAAGAAATGAAGTAATACAAGACACTAAAATATCAGCAAAATAAAAATTAGGTATAAACTTATGTAAATTATTATATCGTAACCACAACTACTTACGTTGTAACCCTGCTTATCGTAATCATTTACCTATGTAATCCTCAATTAACTGTAAACCAGTAAACCAACATAAAATGACCGTTAGAAATCCTCACTATGGGTAGGTGACACATTATCCAGCGTGTCGCATATGCTGCATGTCACCTTCTCTGTTTCTCGGTGTAAAATTTATCTCATTTGTTTCTTGTTACGGAAATGATTAGATGTGATATACTGCTTATCAATTGACATGCTATTACTGGGGTCATTTTTTGGTAACTATCGGTTAGATTATCAAACAATTATTATTATTGTTAACATTTCTCATTTTTGATTAATAATTATTGTTCAATTATTTATTCATTTAATAAATTCGTAGTTTTCGTATTGCTCCGTTGTATTTCCCTTTTCTTTTCGCTGATGAAAATTTTCTCTCTTTCAACACAAATAACACAAATCTAACAATATAATCTAACTCTCCTTTCATTTGCTCAATTTCTTTCTCGTCTACTTAATAATTTAAAACTTTTCCTTTTAAACATACATTTTTAGAAAATATTTTCTTTGCTCTCTTTCAAAATGTTAAAGAATGTGTTATTAAGTTGTCGGAAAGTATTACATTTATATATGAATCAAATTAATCAATATACCTGTCTTTATTTATCTAAATTCGAACTTAACTTTTAAAGTATTTAAGGTATATGTTAAAGAAAGTCATTGAGGTATCTGTAAATATCCACAAATATTAAAAATGTAAATATATAAATGTAAGTGTAGATATTTTGTAGATAAATAAATATATTTATGTATGTATATATGAGAATATTTCGACAGGAGTGCATATTATGGATCGATGCTCAAATAACTTTTTTTTCTGTGGTATATATGAAGAATGTGTAATAGTATGATGTATACTGTAAACATATTTCTATGCATGTTTATATATATAGTGTAGGTTAGTTTGAAAGTATAGGTATGAATATAAATATAAATATGAAATTATCTTGTGTGTTTCAGATTGTTATATTAGGTTGAAGTGATGAGAATATCTCGGCAAGAGTGCATATTTTGGTTCGTTTGGAAATAATCGATGCTCAAATAGCTTTTCTTTTTTATGGTCTATAAAGAATGTGTAATAGTAAGATACATATACTGATGTATGATGATGTTTGTTTTATTGTAAAGAAAAAAACTCATATGTATACGATATGATGCATTATGAAGCATTAAATAGAAAAGGATGAAATAAATTTCCATAATTTTCTTGGTTACGGAAATAATGTCTGAATTCTTAAATTGCTTTTTGCAAGAATTAAAATTTTTCAATTCATACTATTATTTTTTCCTTGCTTTGTGTAAGATATTTCATAAAGTTCTCGCACTTTAGCATTACATTTAAACATATTCTTCGTTTTTTTTTCGTCCTAAAAAAAATTTTTTTTTTGTAGTGATTGAATACTTACAGAAAAGAAATGGCAATTGATTTGTATTATTATTATTATTTAGCATAACACACACACACACACTTTTGAGCGGAAAAAGCATTGCTCATTTTTCATCCATCCTATTTGATGCATTATTATTATTATTATTATTATTATTATTATTTCATTCAGAATATTTTTGGGTTCATTAGAATTTTAGATGGTTCATTAGAATTTTAGATATAATTTTCCCTAATACCTTAGTTCTATTCCGTTTCCGTATCTAATTTAAGTAATGATTTTTGGTAGTTGAAAATTTCATCTTACAGTAATAAGTGATTGAAAGTTTCTTTTCGTAAGTTTTTTCTTTTTTTTTTTTGAAACTATGAAATTAATTTGAAATTATATTGCTATTATTCCTTATATGTGTTTCAAGTATTGCTTTACACGATTCGCCAGATGTTTTGGAATGATATTTTGAATGCTATGACTGGAATCAAAAAATGAATTTGAAATTTTCATATTGCTTGAAACCAAAATCTGTTATTCGAAGTATTCGAAGTGAAAAAAAAAAAAAAAGGAAAGCAAATCCTTGAAAGCCATCAACGGATCATCTCTCTGTCCTTGAAGTTTTATCCTTTTAACTGCTTTACTTATGAAATTTACATTAAACAACCAATCAATCAATCGGTAATTTTGGTAGAATAAAAAATTTGCAAATTTGCAAGGTGAAATTCAAACTTTTTAAAACAACAGTGCACAAGCAAAATTTCTTCTTCGCACATACCAGTTCTCGAAACTTTTGAAATTTGAATATTTTAAAGACACGAAAATGCCGGTGCACCAATTCGGCCTTCAACACCATTCCTATTAATCTTTTATGTAGTAGTCGCAGGATATTAAATGAACATTTCCTCAAAATATCAGTCCTTTCAATCATTTCAATTTTTAAAGAAAGTTTTTTTTTTAAATTTTCTTAATTCAAAATTGTTTTTTAGTTCCTTTTTAACCTTTCAAAAAATTTTTCGATACAATCTGAACATTTGAAACTTTCTCACGAGGGATTAAAGAAGCAATGATTTCATCTAATAAAAAATGGAAATAATTATTATTGAACTATCAATGAGAGCAGATATATCTTCGTGAATTTTTGATAATTTGAAATTTTTTTTTGATCAATCTTTTTCTCATAGAAATTGCACATTATTGTTCTTTTCTCTTCCAAAATTCATTCATTCTCGACAATTATTTCGTTTGAATATCATTTAATATTATTTTAGTGTTTTTATGAGAATATTAATTATATATATATATACTTATAACGATAAATAAAATGATAATATCATAATAGAAGAACGAATAATTTAAATTTATAAAAGTTGTTAGTAAATATCTTTTTTTCTTTTACTCCATCTAATCGATAATTATGCAAATGTATTATAGTTGTTTTTTCTCTACAGAGCAGTATTAAGAGTGGCAGTCAATATTGACATCAGCGATAATGGATGTCGATGAGTTGAAGGATGAATTTCGACAGCGATTTAATTGCAGTGCAAAATATATTGTTCGTTGTCCAGGACGAGTTAATTTAATTGGTAATTTATTCTTATTCTTTTTTTACAAAAATTATTTTTTTTTTTTAAAAAATTATTCTTTTACTAAACTTTATACTATATTTTTTAAAAAAGAGAAGAACTTTAATGTAATTATTTTTAAATATATTTCAAATTTGATAAAATAATTTAAAAAATAAAAAGGCAATAATTTTTCAAATTTTTTCAACTTGAAAGTTTTTTGATGAATAAATACTCGGAGGAAAGAAATGAACTGAAATAATAAATGAATGTATTCGCTTATTTATTTATTTATATTTTGATTTGTCATTGTTTAATAGATAACTAAATTTGTATAATTCATTTGTAATAAAATATAATATATCGGTAATTATTGAAAAGATGAGGACAAATAAGCATTAAAATATTAATAAAGAAGACAATAAATGTTGTGTCTTGCAGGTGAACATATTGATTATAGTGGTTACGGTGTATTACCAATGGCAATTAGCGCCTCGACGTATATTTTAGCTTCACTTCATGATACCAATGAAATTGTGTTCCAAAATATTAATACAGCATTCAGGTAAAGTTTCATTGTTCTAGTAAGCTTTTAAGCAAAGTTTTATTGTGGCAATAGGCACTGCAACAAAGTTTCTTTATTGTGAAAGATTTTGAAGTAAACTTTATTGTTTATTGTTATGGCATGAACTAGATTGTAAAAAAATCGTCTTTAATTCAATTGAAATTTACTTTTAAAATTTTTAAAATTTACTTGTAAAATGTTAGTAAATTATTATTCTTAAAGAGCACATACATATAAATTTTGCGATAATTGGATTGGTAGTAAGAAACCCGAATGGTTTCATTATTTTTTATGCGGCTGGAAAGGTGTGTTAAGGCGTTTGAATATGTTACCGAAAGGTATGAATGTATTAGTTCACGGTAGGTCGTAATGTGTTTACTTTGGATGTCTTACCAATAACTTATTATGCTACTAAAATATTTTGTTCATAAAATATTAGCGATTGGATTTGAATTCTTCTTTAATCTGCAATAGTTCAATATTTAAATAATTTATAGTGACATATTTCACGAATATTTCATAATTATATTTCATTGTAACTTAAAACCTTTTGGGCACTAATTTTAATAAATATAATATAATTTTATTCTTACAAAGTTTTTATAAATTACAGACTTATTCTCAATTCTGAGCTTACAGGTGCTATACCATTACAGGTACTATACCAACAGGTGCTGGTCTCTCTAGTTCTAGTTCTCTCGTATGCGCCGCGGCATTGGTAACACTTGCACTGCATACGGGGCGAGATTTTGATATTATCAATAAGGTACAAATATAATTTGTGGTATAAATTTTAACTCCAACCATATATTTGATTTACTGCCATCTGATGTAAGCATTAAATATTTAATAAATCGAGATGTGATCAATTGCCTGGTATGCTGTAATCTTTCACTCATTTATTGTGTAATCTATAAATTAACAAATAGAATTTGCAGACAGAATTTGCTGAATTGTGTGCTGAAGTAGAGCGATACGTGGGTGTGGAAGGTGGTGGTATGGATCAAGCAATCGAAATTTTAGCTAATGAAGGCTCTGCAATGCTCATTGACTTCAATCCACTTAGATTTGCACCAGTTACACTTCCCGAAAATGCTCTCTTCGCTGTGATTCATTCTGGAGAAGCGCTTAATAAGGCAGCTACCTCTCAATACAATGAACGTGTTGTGGAATGTCGTCTAGCAGCTCAGGTTTACAATGCATTCTTCAAATTTATTTGAGTTCTTATCAAATCACCTTATTCTATCACAGATTTATGATTTTTATTTCCTACAATAATTACTGTTGCTTACAGATACTTAAAATTTACTTGGAAATAATCAATACGTTGATTTCTTCAGATCATAGCAAAAGTGTATGAACTAGAAAGTTGGAAAGAAATTCGAACGTTAGGTGAAGTTGCACAGCGATTGCAGAAGACTGCTCAAGAAATGATTGTAGTAGTAGAGGAAGTGCTATCCGATCATGTTTACACCAAGGACAATGCTCTTAGCTTGTTAGGCATATCAAATGAAAATTTCAACCAAACAATCCTTTCAGCGAACACTCAGCACAGTTCGTTTTCTAATTTAAAAAGCTGGGAAAAAAAATAATATATGAATGGCTTTCATATATGAACAGGGAATCTTCAATTAGATCTTAGGTTTCACAAGTCCGAAGATTTTTAAAATAGAACAAAATAAAATGTTGAAAAATTTTAGCTTTCTCCATCTTATTTTACCAGAAAAGAATTTTATTTTTGTTATTGTTATTAATTATTATTATCGTTATTATTATTATTATCGTATTATTATTATTATTATTATTATTATTATTATTATTATTATTATTATTATTATTATTACTATTATTATTGTTTTATTAATAACCTTACAAACTTTCGATTGATATATGTTGGTTTAAATGAGCAGCATTATGTTAGTCATTAAAATAAGTATTAAGTATTAATACTTTAATATTGTGATTATATATTCAACATCTGACAAACGTATATTATGTATTTATTGGAAGTATCTGTTCTCTCTTATCAACAGTAATCATCCTTTCAGTCAATTATTTATTATTTATTCGTTACCGAAATATGTAATTGTAAGTATATCAAATGTTGATAATGTTTTATATTAATTAAGAAAAAATTATTTAAGAAGAAATGTATGTTATATATGATTTTTGAAAATTAGATTCAATCAAATTCATTTTATTCATTTTGCCTTATCACTACTTCATTGAAACATTTGCAGTGGAAACATTTAAACTGGCGCAAAGAGCAAAACATGTGTACATGGAGGCAGATCGAGTTCGTTTATTTCATGAAGCATGTAAAAGTGGTAATGTGGAAGAGATGGGGAAACTGATGACCGAAAGCCATAATAGCTGTAAGGAACTATTCGAATGTTCCTGCAATAAACTAGATGAAGTAGTCAGTTCTTTCTTCTATTTTTAAGATTCAAAAGTATTGCTTATCAATCGTTAATGATAAAATTGGTATTATAATATTCTAAATATTTCACATTTTAATCAAATTAATAGAAACTATTGTATGTAAAGTGTTTTGCATATTGCATTACATATTATAAATGAAATTTTAGGTGGAGAACTGTTTACGAAATGGTGCATTAGGTGCGCGACTTACGGGAGCTGGCTGGGGTGGTTGCGCCGTTGCGCTTTTTGACATCAAACAGTCCGATCTGGAAGTGTTGTTTTGGAGTGGACCTGCTAGTGGTATACAGTTGATGAAATGCTAATGAGAGATTTACTGAAATCATTGAAATGAAATTGTTGCCTTTCATATTTGCTCTTCTTTCACTTTCTTCAATTTTATTTCTTTATTCTATTTATAGTAAAGCAATTATTCTCCCTCCATGTAATCAAAATCATTCAAATAATTATTGTCTCTGTTAGATTGTTTCTTCACTTACTTACGTAAAAGCATTCCTATTAATTAGATTTGATCTTAATTACATCAAATCAATGTTTAGTTAATGATGTTTTCTGATAAAATCGCAATAATTTATGCATTATCTCAATAATTTAGTATTATTTCTTTGTCAAAATGAGATGTAAGACACTTATGCTAATGCCGAAGTTTTAGATAAAACTTTTTTTTAGATAGCGATGTAATGTTTTATTCATATATCGAATATTTCGATCGAAATATTTCAAGAAAGGCTTTTTTGTTGAAAAATTTAGTGGAACTATTAGGTAAAAATTTAGTTTACTTTTAGTACTAATTATCATTTCTCTATGCATTCCACAAATATTGTTTTATTGACATATTATTTATTTAATCACTTATCACTTACTGCAATTCCTTTATCAGTCCATTTCGCTTACTTATTTTTTTATTTCACTTTTTTTCTATATTTTTCAATTGAAAGCTCAAATATCTCTTTTTTTTTCAATTGTAATCAGTTGTTGATATCGTAATGCTAATGCAATTTACTATTCCACAGTTCTTTTTTTTTTAAAAAAGTTTGTTGTTTCTTTTTTTTTTTTATTTCTCTTTCTATCCTTTCTATATTTTATGTTTTTTATTTCTTTTTTTGTATGTTAAAATTGAATAGGGAAAATTGATTTTACATTGTTTGCAAAAACGACAAAAAGTAATACTTTTGCAGGCATATTGACAATGACAATGTTAATGCACAAATGATTGCACATACTGATAAAATGATAACGAAAGAATTTCGACCATCAAATGTGATAGATGAAGTTTTCATCTATTGTCACCGATTATCTGTCACAAAATTTTTATCATTCTCTTCGTTTTTCTTTTTTGCTCCACTATTTTCTCATTCCTGAATTAAAGTTTATAAATTTTGCATTAATGCTGAATGCTTCACTTAAAATGCCATTAAGAAATATGATTATTGGTGTTGATTTAATTTGATATAATTAAATTAGACAATATTTGAGAGAAAAGAAAAACTAATTGTAATTTTTGGCTGTGAAAATTTAGCGAATAATTCGATATTGTAAAACTTAATGGTATTAAATACAATTAATTATTTATGTTGGACAAAGGGAGTAGTTCTAGGCATCATTGATTTTATCATTTCAATTTTAGATTTTGATTTCACATTTTTAAAACACATTCGAACCGTTTCTTTTTTTGTTTTTTTTTTTTTTTTTTTTTTTTTTATTGGAAAGCTTTTTTTTATTTCTCTTCAATGGATATTTTTTCGAGAAAAAGAAAGAGAGAGAGAGAGAGAGAGGGAGGGAGAGATGAGCAGTATTTTGAGGATATATTCACTCCATTTGTGCTAAATAAATTAACAATTTTTTGTCTTCTTTGAATAATTTAAGTAAGAATAATTTTCAAAACTATCAATCATTTTTCTCGTTATTATTAATGTTAAGAAAGAAATCTTTTTTCTTGTCCTCCTAGAATGATTAAATTGATAAGAGTGAAATAGAAATAGCATCCAAAGGTAAATGCAAATTCATTAAAATATATTCAAAATTTAACTGATGAGGAGCATTCCTTTCCATCTTATGAAGAGAAAAATTCATTCATCGCTATAAAACAATTTATTTGGAAAATAAAGTATATATGCAGTAAAATTAAACATAATTTGTAAAACATTTTCAAGAAATAATAACAATGAAAAAGTAAAAGTAAACATAAAACAAACATTCATTTCATATAAATAATAGTAACCAATAATAATAGTGATATAATAATATTATTAATAATAATAATAATAAATAACAGAAATTTTGCAACAGATAAAATGAAGCAAAATTTTCACAATTTATTTAACTTGAATTGAATTATGTCAAGAAGTGAAATTTAAACGACTATATTGTAAATTTTATACGAAAAATTTTTAAAGTTTCGAAATAATTTCAATTACTTTTGCTCAAAAAATAATGGAATAATTCGACAATTTAAAATTCATCACTTAATACATTTCCGCTTCCAATTATACTTGGCGCTTTTGTGCAACAAGTTCAGAAATATGTTACTTCTGTAATTTTGAATTATTCGCATAATCTTAATGCCATTTTTCATTATTTCTTTCCTTTCTTAATTTAGTACGCGCCTTTACCATTTGTAATTTTTTCTTTTTTTTTTTTTTTTTTTTTTTTTTTTGAGATATACTAAAATGTTGCAAATTTAATATTGAAATGTGAAATTCATATTGAAATACCGACAATATATATAATTAAACAGCATTATAATATAAATTCATGAATATGCACTTCGTTAATAAACTTTTTTAAGAAGTAGTTAATTAATTTGTTTCAACAAATTTCTCTTCAAAAATCAATGTATCATCTAGAACGAATGACAGAAGTTAAATTCCTTTTTTTTTTCTTCAAATATATTTTTGAAAAATAAAAATACAAAAATATTTTTTAAGTACTAAGTTGTCATAAAAAAAAGAGGAAAACAGAAACTTGTTGTGATGGAACAATTTTCTGAAATAGAGTGGAATTAATTGTGCGATAGAATGCAAATGGATTGATTCTACGATATAAAATAGAAAAAAAGCAAAATGAAAAATTGTTTGCTATATTAAAATATTTCCCTTTTTTAAGCTAAATATCACTGAAAAATTTTTCTTTATAATTAATTGCATTTTTTCAAAATAAATTTATATATTTTATTCATCATTTTACAAAAACAATGAAATAATAGATGGATCATTTATTTTATGGAATTTTTACTAAAATTATTTACTGAATAAAGTGCCATTTTACTATCTCTTAATGATAAGTGGTAAAATGTTGATTTAAAAAATCCAAGCAAACTAGATGAAAGAAAATTAGCTTAATTAAGTTGTAAAAATAAAAATCCAACTAATAATGTTTTGTTTTTTTCGAAGAATTTTTTGTTTAAGAAAAGAGAAAAAAGTGAAGAAAAAAATTTTGATTGTTTTTGACATATATTTCATTAATTTCAGAAACCTTACCACTTAATTAAAATTCATTAATTTTAATCAAACCATTATTAATTTCATGTTTGTTTCATCGATATCATTATTGCTACTCTTTAAATCGTTAAAAAAATAATTTTACATGTAAAATTTCTACTAATTTTGATATTGAAGTGAAAATTTTGAATTATTTGAAAAAGAAAATTCTTCCTTAATCGAAAAAGAAAATTCTTCCTTAATTGGTAGCGGAATCAGTGGGATAGATATGGCGCAAATTGCTAATCAATAATACTATACTATCCATACAGGTCAAATGGGCTGGCTAATAGCACGTAATGATGAAAATAGAAATGGTATTCCTTGTTAATCAACAGCATTTAAATATTATCATTGATTAAATCCCATGTGATATCTGTCCAGTTACGTATAACTTAGTAATTCACGTAACTTACATCTATTACATGAATGGTGAAGGTCACTTATGTATAGGTCAAAGGATCAAATGGGTCAATTTTTCACAAAGTAATAGTGAAAGCAGAAATGAGTGTAAACAGTTAATCGATGGAATTCGAATATTGCCGCTGTTTCAATCACATTCTCAATTACATCTGTTCAATTAAATCAGTTCACTTACGTGTAATCCAATAATTTCGATCCTTTTACAGGCCACGTAAGTGATTGAATTTCCTTCTTATTCTCTCCGTATAGAATGGATGAGAAAAAAGGAAGAACAAGTTTTTTAACTTTTATTTATTCGATTTATTATTTTCAAATATTAAACAAAAAAAAAAACGAAAAATGAAAATTCTATTTCAATAAAACATTCAAAAATTTTTTAATTCCATTAAAATTCTAAAAATTTTACCATAGCGAAAATTTTAAAATCTTATTAAATTGAAACTTTTGTCATATTGTTTCAGAAGTTCAACATTTCAATTAATTGTTCAAATAATACTTTCACTTTTGAATAGATCGTATTGTACAAGCTAAACATGCATCATATTTATATTATTTAAGATATTATCACTTATAATATAGTATCAATTGATGTAGCATCAGTCTTATCTTATCACATATCGAAATCAATCGTTAATTATTCCACCATCTTTGCTATCATTATCATATGATAATATCCTTTGCTGGTAGTACCATACGGCTTTAATTTATTATCCCAATATTAATGTAAGAATAAACATTTCGTTGTCATTTTATCAGATTTGTCAGAATGAATTTTTTAAAAATTGTTGCTTTTCTCTCTTTGTTGTCATTTTTATATTTATTTTCATTATTATTTATTGCCATTATTATTATTATTATCATTTTGTTATTGTTTTTTATTCTGTTGTTGTTGTTGTTGTTGCTATCAGCAATGTTGCAGATGTATTTAATTTCGTTAACATTAAATTAAAAAAAAACGTATGCAACTGTTATGGATTTTCTTTTGTCAAAGAAAATTGCTAGTTGCTTTCAAAAAAAAAAGTTGAACTTTTTTATTACTGAAGTTATGTCCTTACGATCAAATAGAAAATTTTTTCATTTTTCTCCTTTTAAAATATGATAGTTTAATTTTTAAGGAAAACCCCAAACGAAGACAAGAAAAAAAGAAATAAATAATAAAGTAAAATCAATTTCTGAAATTAAAGAAAAGAATTTCCTGAATTGGTGAGTTAATCTGGATTCCAGCTTTTTTTTTTTTGAGGCCGAAATAATTAGTTTTACCGGAAGGTTTGCTGTTCGAATAAAGGTAATTATGATTGAATACTTCTGAAATAAATAACTCGGGTTTTAATTTCTTTTTTTAATATGCACTTTATATTGAACAGGTTGAAGATTAATTCCTGATTGTCTTCCGATGAATTATTCAGGAATGACAGCATTAAGGTTGTTAAGATTTCAATTCGTTGAAAATAAAACATTAACTTTGTGTTTATTATTCCATCTTATTGCGGAATTATCAAATCAATTTGAGTCACTGAATTGATGACGCATTATTAAGCATTTAATTGCTTATTACCTTTTTGCGGTAAATTTTCTAGCAATAATTTTTGCAATGAAAATTTAAGATTCTCGAGCAGAGTTTTCTCTTTTCTTTAAAAAAATGTCACACTTAAAGTTTTAAAATAATTCTTGAGGTAATAATTACGCCAACGATTGTCATATCATTTAAGATTTAAGATCTTTTCACTTATTACCTTTATTTGACCTTTTGATTATTTCCTGTCACTGCTATGCAGACTTCAAACATGATGAATCGATTTAATGTGTTGCGTGCAAAAATAAAATGGGCAATTTGTTTTACGTGATGCGACCATATGCTCAAGCGTAATAATGGCAGCGCATTTCACGTAAAAGAAAATGAAAGTGGTAAAAAAACTCTTAAAATAATATTAAAAAAAATTGAATTGATATCAACTAGAAGAGTTAGTTATTGATAAATCGAACAATTCAGCATTTCACTGAGGTATCATTGTGTTTAAGAATTTTCCTACTGATTTGATAATTCATTGAATATTTAATTATGCTCAGAAATAACGATTTCTATAATATTAATTAATCAAAAAATAGTGAAAATTTTGATAAATCTTCTACAAGAAGAAAACGACAAGAATTATGTTATATAAAAGAAATAATATTGAAACAAATTATTTATATTAATATTATGAATTAAAGACACTTAATATTTGAGTGTATCACCATATAAAGTAATGGGACTAATAATTTTTTTTCTGAAACAATAATCTAAAACTGAAATAAAAATTAAATTAAATGATTTAAGTTTCATATGGAAAGCACAAATTTATTGAGAATTGAATTACTTTCATTTTGCTTAGTTGTTTAATTATTTATTCTATTATTTACACCTTTGTACACATTAACATGCAAATTATATGATTAAATTTCATATTGTGAGATAGTCTTTCAATCAAATTTCATTTAAAATAAAATTTTGATCCAAAAAAATTTTTTGTTTTTTTAGAATAATGAATAATGAATTTTTTTTTTTTTTTTTATGAACAAATAGGCAATTAAAATATTGAATGAATAAATTTTACAAATTTTAAATTTTATACAAAAAAAATTTCACAAATGTTATTCGTAATCATAATGTTCATCTTCTTTTTTACCATTATTTCCATATATTTATTATTTTCTTTCTTATTTCTTCCAAAAAATTTCAATTTATTTACAATTGGCTGCCTTTTTTTATGCCAACAAAATTACAAAATTGATTAATTATTTGGAAAAGATAATTAAAAGCGTGCTTCAATGATATCATCATGATAGAGATCATTATCATTATCATTATCATCACCATCATCGTCATCAGATGATAAGTCATTTGTTGAAGTATTGCTTTGATCGATGATAGCTGTGTTAGAATGATTGCATACAGTTATCATATCAGTTGGCTTAATTTCCGCCTTATTAATATCACACCAACTGCAGTGCTGTAAGACAAGATTGATTTCGTTCATTATTGCCATTAACTGAAATATCTTAACTTAATTTTAAATTATTTTAATTTATTAAAAGAAACTTTAAATTTATCAAAATTTTCGTTCTCTTTTATTTTGTTATAGCATATTTTGCTCTAATATGTACATGTAGGAATTAAATTAGATCAAAATTATATAAAATGATTTTATGATTTAGAGAAAACAAGTACAAAGAGAAAGAGAGGAAGAGAGAAAAGAAATGAATAATAGAAAGAAATTATTCAAAAAGCTTGAACTATTATTTCAATTAAATTAGTAATAAGTTTGATTTTTCCAAAAATCTAATCCATTTCAATTTACATTCATATGATTCATCCTCAATTTCATAGATGAAATAGTGATTTCATTTATTTATTCTTAAATTCAAACATGAAAATAATGATTTTATTAAATTTCTTAGTTGTATATTATGATTAGCTTTGTCTTTTTGCATTATTTATTCGACATTTTCATAAATTTTTACCATCATGTAACAAAACCATCAAAGTAACTCGTTATCTTTTTCCTATTTTTTGAAGAAAGAAAAATATTCCTTATCACTAGAATCATTAAAATGAAAAGTGCTTCTTATTCTTTATCATCATTATCAGGTTCAATTCACTATTTTTAATTCGAAACTTGAAAATAAGCTAACAATTTTTCTGTCATCTTCATTTTTCGAATTATTTTGTATCGTTGTATTGAACTCATCCTTTGCTTCATTATAGATAAGCCTTAAGAGTTCGATTCCTTCTTCAATCACCAATGATACTTTGTCCAATTCTAAATTCACATTCTAATTCCGTTATTATTGTCAACAAATGCTATTGTATGCACACAATCCGATAAACAATTTACTAAATTACTTGATAAAATTAATAAGCACATTGCTTCTTTTCACACATATTGTAGCAATGATAATGAAATATTTAATATTACAAACAATACTTTTGATAGTAATCTGCCGATAATTTCTATTACCAATTTAAAGGTTCATTTCACTTTCCTTTTGGTTAATAAATTAATCATCCCTTATCTTTTGGTGTCAGGAAGACATGAATTTAATTTATAAAAAATTGAAAATGATCAAATATCTTTTTTAAAAAAAAAAAAAAGAAAAATGAAATCATTAAATTAATTAAAATCACTTAATTAGAAGTCAAAATAATTTTTAATACTAATGATAGTTGATAATTTGGAAAAAATAAAAATAGAAAAGCGACTTAAAAAAATACCAGAAAAATTGCGCAAATAATCATTAATCATTGAACATAAACCATCGATGCGTTGCTTTAATTTGACGGCTGAAAATGTTGCCATACATTGAACAGCAACCTAAATTTATAATTTAAATCAAATATTTCAATTTTAAAATCAAATTTAAAATTCTAATTTCATTTAAAATTTTCTTGCAAATATTATTCACCTCATATGCTTCGATCAAACTAACAATCAATAATTCCGATATTCGCATTCGTTCATTAACACATCTCGTAAGTTTTAATCTTTCTTGCAAACATTCACTGCGCCAATCGATCTGACAGAGTAATGCTTCATTTGATGAATCATCCAATCTTGTACTTTCTGAAATTTAAAACTTTATTTGTTTGCTTATTTCTTCCTTCCAATATTATTTTTTTTTTCTAATTTTCTGATGTTTCTTTTTTCTTGGAAAAAAAAATTAATTTTAATTCGGCCATTTCAATTTTGATTTAATCATGTTAATTCGATTATTCTATTCATTTTTATTCCTCTCATAATGCTTAAATGTTAACTCAATCTTGTTTCGATCTCTCCCTTTATTCTTTTCAAATTTTTATTCTGAATTACAATGAAGTGAAATGAAATGTTTTCGTTATGCATTCTTCATTCTTCATCTTTCTTTTTTTTTGCCATAATTCTCAGCATTCTTCATTTTTCATTTTCCGAATCATCTCTTTTTTTTTTTTGCATTTCAGTTTCTAATCGTAATGCAAATCTTTTCTGAGTTTTGAATTCTAATTTGTCTCATAAATTTTTAATATTTTTTGATATTTTTGAAAAAAGTATATATCTGCTAAATGCATTCATTTTCAGGAATTTAGTTTCATATGTTTCCTGAATCGTTATCGTTAAAATATTTTATATTTTGTCATTATCCAAATATGGTTGTTATTTCTTTTCTTGAGTAAAGCAAAACAAGAAAAGAGAGAAAGAGAGAGAAAAGGAAATAAAAAGCTAAAAATTATTTCATGATTGAAATTTGTAACTAACATTTATTAACTTTGCTAGAATTTCCCAATCTTTCACACACAGTTATCACCTAAATTTCGATACTTGTAGTAAACTGCTACTACAATTTAATTGCTTTAGTTGATAATTCAAATAATAATATTTAATCACTGTAAATAAATTTAGTTACGCTAATCTCTATTTTAATTCATAAAAAATTAGGAAAAATGGAACAATTAAAACAATGAAATAAAGAAATAATTTGAAAATCAATCACCAACAAATAACCTCCACCATTCACACAATTTTAGCCGATCAGTATTTGATGCCGCACTTTGGATAACTTTTTTATATGATTTATGGCATAAATCCATGAGAATTCTATAAGAAATATAATTATTCAAAAAGATTGCATCTCTTTGGCGTTGTTTGAAAAAATGGGAAAAGTTTGATATTACCTATTAAATTAAATAGGTAGATACACTATGCAAAGTAGGAAGGAAATAGTTGCAAATCTAAGAATTACTAAAGAAAATATAAATTCTATGCAATTTTAAAACTTATTTAAAATAAAAGACTGTTTACGATAGTTGCCAAATAGTTCTGGAATGAAACTAAAAACATGAAATAACCCGCGTTTATTCACTTCTCTCCTTCTCTCTCTCTCTTTAGGTTGTACAAGTGATCTTGCAATAGATGGAATAATTTTGATCCCAAATTCATAAGTCTTAATGAAATCTAGCTCATTTGCTGAACTTGTCGAAATACATCAAATATTTGCCAAGATGAATAGATCGCTATGCTACATTGTCACTGTTGCTATTAACAATAATCAGGAATTAGTTGAGAGTTCCATAATTCGGGAAAAAATATAATTACAAGACAAATTTTTTAGAAAAAAAAAAAAATGAAATATGGAAATTTTTGAATGTGACTATTTAATTGAACTTACGGATTTAATTTGCTCTGTTGCAATGTTGCAATCCTTTCAATTGTTCGAACACATTTTGCATAATTCTCATTATTAAATGCATGATGAGCTATCTCTATTAAATTTGCTTCATCATTGTTTAGCACTGCTTCCGTTTTTATATTAACCATTTGCTCAGCTAAAAAAAAAAAAAAAAATCCTTATGTTACAGTAATCGTATATGCTTTCCATATATACCGTATAACTGACCCTAATTTTGTATCGTATACAGCTAGTTGGCTTTAAGCTCGTACGATACTAGTTAATTCGAAACTTACAGTACATAGTTAACTCTAAATTTGTACAACACTCTCTAAATCAGTACGGTGCATAATTAACATCAAATTTGTACAATATATATATAGTTAACTCAAAAATTTAATTAATTTATTTTCATTTTAATTTGCTTGCTGCTTCTTTCTTTTTTATTTCTAAAATTTTGTCAAATTAAACTAACTGTGAATTTCTCCATGGTGAGGCAAACATTGTCGTGTATCACTATTCATTAATATCTTATCATAACATTCATTCTTCGTAGTACTCAAGGATATATTACTGCATAAATTACGCAAATTAATTAACTTCTGAAAATATAAGTAAGGGAAATGAAATCACAGTAAAATCATCTTTTCATTCAAATCACTTTAAGCTTTTTGGCCCTACCTGAATAATATCGTCAGCCAGAACATTTGCCTGGAAAAACTGTTCATGTTGTAAACAATATGAGTCATTCCATGATTTCTTGATTTCGTGAATTAATTCGCCAATTAGCGTCAATTTTTTGTCCATTCCGCTTCAAAATATATTTCAAAAAACGTAACAAACAATCCAAAAAATTTGCTTCTACTTTTTTTTTTTTTTTTTGAAACAATTACAAACTAAAACTGCGAAATTTCCATTTCATACACTATGAAAAGTTGTAGCAAAGAAAGAATTCAAAAAATTAGAAAATTTTTTTTCCAATAAAACAAAAAAATATATATGAAAAAAATTGAGGATAAAATGAGGAAAAATTTAGGATCTTCCATTGCAAATATCGGAAAAACAGTGCTAGAAAAAAAGAATTAGTAAAAAAATTTGAACAAAAAATTAATTTAAAAAAATTTTTCAATTCAAAATATTAGATAATCTCTTTTTCTGTCGAATTTTAGATAATTTCTTTTTTCCTTTTTCTATTGATATAAGAAATAATTAGAAAGGTGCTAAAATTTTGAAGAAATAGTAAGATCATATATGTATAACTATATAGTAAATACATGGTGAAACCAAATTTTATAAACAATCTGTTTTTTTTTTTTTTAACTTTTTTCAGGAATTATCAAGAGATATTCTGAAATGAACATACAGAATGACCCTTCTAATTTATGAGTCAACCAGAAAATCCTGTTTTCTAGCCAAACAATTTCATCTTTAATGATGTTTTACAACAAATGGGTAAATATATTCAAACTATGAAAAACATTTTATGCGGTAATTATTAGATTTCCGAATTTTTTTTTTTCATAATTTCTGCAAAAATCTGTTAAAAAATATCAAAATAATTTAGAAAATTGAAATTAGCAGCAAACATAAATTATCTCTTCCACCATTCCTTTTTCATTTTGAGAGTTGGAATTAATTTTGTTTGCAAGAAATAAAATTATTTTATAAATTATGAAAGTGACTTCATAGATCGGATTAAATATCACCCGTTAGGTGATATATTGATCTATTTGGAACAAAAGATTATAAAGAAGAAACGATGATATAAGCATAGATGAATCAGTGCAGCTGACTAGACAATAACAACAAAAAAGTTTGGAAAAAATTTTTTGAGGTTTTCAGAAAAAAAAAAAAAAATGAATAATTTGTTGAGTGGCACTGTGTCTGTAAATAAAACATATGCGAATGAATAATTTGATGAAACGATAATGAAATTGCATCATAGTGGTTAAATATAAATTTTTAACATCTCTTTTTCCATTCCAGAAATTAAATAAAATTCAATATGCAAATGCAAAATGAAAACAATTCAGCTAAACTAAATATACAACCATAAATAATTTTTACAAATTGTATGAATATTGAAGGAGAAGTTGTTTGATATTAAATAGAATAATTTACGCAGAAAATTTTGATCGCTGTGGAATAAAATCTGAAAAATATAATAAATATCCATTTGGTAAACATAAATTGTAACAGTCATTTACCATATGACAACAGCTAACAAAATAGTAACCAAATATTTTATGCTTAATTCTTTAAATATTTAATAAAATAATTGAATGTAATTGAGCAGAAACAATTTGTTTTGTATAATTAATTTAAACTTCGAAGACTTGTTCAAGATTTTTTAATGCATCTTTAAATGATTCACTTTTCACTTCCCTATGTAACCATTTTTTATTTCTTTCTTTTTAAATAAACAAAATATGCACTATTTCAGTTTACTTAATTATAAGAGGACTAAAAACAAGAATTAACTACATTTAACTGATAAAAACAAACTTTATAATATTCTCAGTTTTTTCGGTTTTTGGAAGTCTAGGTACAGAAAATTTAGAATTCATTTAAAATTTAAAATGAATCGGCAAAAAGTCATTCGAGAAGCATATAATCTTCAAAAACCATCAATAATCTTTAATTTCTTGACTCAATGAAATAAGATATTGAAGAATCCTGAAAAAATGATATTATTTAAAAAAAAAAAAAAAATCCTTTTCAATTTAACTTTTTTTCAAATGAATCTATAAGTATGTTTTCTTGTCGATAAAGAAGTAAAAACAAATAGTAATGAAAGTAATCAATGTGAAATAACTTTTAATGAGGAGCATAGTTTGAGATATAGAAGATAATTTACATTGTTCTCAATTAGTCAAAATTTTGAAAATAATTTAAAATTTTCGAATCCAATTCAGAGAAAATAAATTTAGGTGGAATGAGGTTTATGGATGAAACATAGAAATAAAATGGTAAATTTAATTGATCTCATTAAATTAATCATGCAAACTAAAACTGATGACACTTTCGCCTTTATGATAACAAACAAGGTAGAAATGAACTGAAGACAAGGAATGAGGGAAGGAGGGCAGATGTACTGTGTGGCATTCAAATTTTATGTAAACATAAATTACTTTCAATCGAAATTTCAGATGTGCCAAAGAGAACTTTCCATTATTAACATTTTCGCTGTAATTTTTATTAATTTTAATTTCACTTATATTCAATCATGAAAAGTCTTTTTTTGCATTAAGATAATTTGCACAGCCAAATTGATTATTGTAAAAGATTTCTTCATAGAAATATAAAATTCCATTGATTATTAATTACAACAAATTTAAATTACAGCATACTACATGTCAGAAAACCGAAAAATTTTGGTTACACACAAAGTGTTTAGAATAATGCTAATGATTCATTGCTAGATCTCATTCTTTCCAAACAATGAATCCTTTATCTAAACCTCAAATAGTAAATGTACATCTGTCTTCGTTGTGAATGTTAATCTGCTAAGTGAACCCACTTCCTGCACCCTTAAAGTCGGTGGCAGTCTTCTCTTCCTCCTCCTTAACAGTGCCATTTGTTCCTTCGCTGCGTTTCAATTATTCGACTGCATATTGTATCAATTCACATTTATAAAGGAAATAAATCATGTCTGAGTCGATCTCGCTAACAGATAAGAAGTTCTACAAGCTTAAAGTAAGTCAAGTGAGCTTAACTAATCTAAATCAACTACTCTTCTGACCAAAATGTTAATTCGAATTCACGACACTGTATGATAATAAAGTTATATATTTTAAATATTACAAGTTTATTGGGAAAATATAGAGTCAAAAAAAAAACGAATTTATTTTGAAAATTTGAATAATGAAAAATTTTTTGCGTTTTTTCTTGCTTTTTTTTTTTGATTCTGCAAATTCCTTTCAGGAGTAAAACAAGCGATAAATATGCTAATAATATTCCAATAGAACAATTTTCATTTGGAAGTAAAATTCATATTGTAAAAAAAGATTTTTAGAAAGTTTAGAATTTTAGAAAAGCAAATTTCATCTTCGCTTTTCAGCCAACAAATTATTATAATACATATTTTGGGGAGCGATATATCTCGTTTTCTAAGGAATCAAATTTTTCGTACTAATTTTTAAGGATTGAAAGATATTTCCATTATTGTTATTGTTTTTATTTCATTATTTTAAATGCTAATAATTTCAAATAAGTATGAAATATAATGTAAAAATTTTTCTAAATTTTTAGGATAAAAAGAAAAAAGGCAAGAATGATTTAATTTGTTCAAATAAAGAAAATTTTAATAATAATAGCTCTATATAGCCTTATATACAAGAAAGAGCTCACTGTTATTTACTGGATTGAAATATCATTAATAATTAACTTAACAAACATATTTTACACTCGTATTACTTTATATTTCTAGAGATTACGGTGTAATTTCAGTTTACAAATACCATCGTTATGTTTTCCTTCACAGTACGTTATTCATATATAAGGCAAAGCTGATCTTCCAGAAATTATTCAGTAAATTAGTTCCATCTAAATTTTTTATAAAAAAGTTTACAAGTATTACGTACTATCGCCACTTTTAGTTCCGAATATTTTCTGTAACCTACCGTATTTGCCTTATTACATTTTTAACTAAGATTAATCATTACTGTCGCCACCTATTAATGCTTGGTAATAATGATAAGTCATACCTGTATTTAGGAAAAACATTCAATACCATGCCATGTGAAATTAATTTGGAAGCCAATTATAATGGTAATTTTCCAGGATTCAAATGTTTAAATGATATTGGAAATATATTTTACCAACCTTAATAATTCACTGCGCATTAGAGTAATGAAATATATCTAAATTCTTATAACACATCGTAAATTAAAAGCTAAGAAAATTTAGAAAAAGTTCGTTGACAGTTCTATTTCTGGTGGTAATTGTGAAATAAACAAGCTTGGAATAAGTGATATATTTAATCCGAGAATATCGCATGTAAGATGCACATATAAATATGATAACAATAATGGTATGTGACATCTTATATTAAAATTTTAAATATATAGTTAAAGAATTTGTCAAATTCTGTCTTTATTTTTTCCTTTACATTCAAATAATAGGAAAAAATATGGGAGGAGAAACTGACTTTTAATAAATTGATACTTTTGTTTATGTTTCTATTTCTTTTTGATTTTTCGTTGAAATTTAATTCTATGTTCATACTTTGACTTCTTTTCATTTGCTGAAATCTTCATTTTTCTCTTTCCAATTAATTAACTATTCTTGTCCTGAAGAGATAGTTAAGAAAAAGGACTGGAAGATTTATCTGTCTTTGATCGATGATGCATGCTAATCAGAATACTTTCTTCGTGTAGATTTCATTAACATGTTATATAATATTTGACGATTCTCTTACCTACGAATTTTGAATTATTCCAATCATTTATATTGCAATTTCAGTTGTTCCATATTATATACGTTCGTTATGCCCACAAATGTTTTGTATAAATTTTATTTTCAATCAGTAAATGAAATTTAAAAATAAATACTTAATTCTTCGGTTATCAAAAAAGAAAAACATATATTAAGAAGGCACTATGCCAGTCTGTTTATATCCAGCACTTATTCAGATATGAACAAAACTATCATGGCCTAATTCTGATTAAATCTATCAATCCTTGTAAATTGGGCTAGAAAAAACAGAGTCTTAGTAATAAATAAATGTAAACTTGTTGAACTTTCATTTGGTTTTCTTTTCTTTTTTGAAAAATAACTCAGTTACCGCAAAATGGAACAGATAAAAAAGCCAATTTAATGAATTAGCTGAAGAAGTTCACCAGAATTTAATTATTGCAATGCAAATATAATAATTAAATAACTTATGCAAAAAATGCTGAAATTTAAAGATAGTAAAAATCAAAATTATATTAACTGAAAATGAAATCAATTAAAATTAATGACATTAATGCCAAAACTTCAACTAATTTATACCAAATAGGATATTTAATGTTATTTCTTCTAAAATAAATAAAAACATAAAGTATCCAACCAAACTGCAATTTAGAAAATTCACGAAGTGAAAAAGAAAACGAAGATATCAACCTTGAAAAAAAGGACGAACAAAAACGATTTCATTCCTTATTCCGAACTTATAAAAATTCTAACATAACTACTGCTTCCTTTTTTCTTTTCTCCTCTCTCTCTCTCCCTTACGCTCCTTTTCTATATAATAATATTATTATACTAAAAAAGAAAAAAGTCCACACCTTTTTTCATCATTTCATATCGTTATTCCGTTTCAGGAATTAACTGGAAATTAAAAAGTGTAAAATGATAAACACACAACTGAAATAAAATTACTGTATTGAAGAAAATTTTGAAAAAAAAAAATCAAAATATAATTTTCTTCTTTTCTTTCATTTGAATTAAGATAAAGAAGAGAATGAATAATTGTGTCGTTGTGAAATGAAAAGTAAAAGGAGGGGAAGAAGCAGTGTAGAAGGATTGGAAACTTTCTTGATTAATTCGAAGGGAAAAGAGCAAAGCGGGCAAGGAAAATAGGAGAAAAAAGAAATTTTCGGGGGTTAAAGGACACGGATCGCTAAGGAACAGGGAATGGAAATAAGATGATAGATTGGAATTTTGATAATTATAAAGTACTGGTGATCTTTCTAAATAAACACATATTCGAGTAGGGAAGGCTTTGTCAATTCTTTTAAATGATGCTTGAAAGGATAGATAATGATTTAATCGACATGATAGATAGTGATTTTATCGTTGTAATGAATGATAAATAGAAATAATGGATAAGGATTTAATCGTTGTGCTGGATGATAATCATGAATTATGGATAGGAAAAATGAATAACGATTTAATCATTGTATTAAACAGTGGATAGTAATTTCATTGTTGATAATGAATAACAGACGGAGAATGGATAACCGTTTCGTCATTGCCATGACAAATGACACATCATTTTCCAGATATTCTCATATATGGGATTAATCTACTACTTTCATCAATATTTAAAAGGTAAAAGATGATTGTAATTAAGACAGGAAGAGGAGAATTCAGTATAAATCATCAATAATAAATGCTGAAATTGAAATAAATCAATATATAAATGGATATCATAAAAATAACTTATGTTCTATGGAATATATCCAGTATTATTGATGTGATATCACTGATATCATTTAAGTAATCAGGTATTTTATCAGTTTCTCCTTTTCTGTCTGACATTTTCTGTTAAATTAACATAAAAAGGAAAAACATCGACTTTCTTTAAAGTTTTCTTCTTTCATCTTTCTACTCTCTCCAATGCTTTAGAAATTATTTGGAATTCAAGACAAAACCATAAAAAGTATTACCTTATAATTATATAAAAAAATGAAGAATACTATATTTTATAATGAATTCATTGTATTAATTTGATCGGTTTCTCCGTCAATGTTGATACTATTTATTGTAAGTAAAAATTGATATAAAATTGAAAACATAAAGAACTTTTTAAAGAAAATGACAAATTTAACAGGAAAGTAAAAAAGAAAAAAGATAACTATCTTTCTTTTCTACTTTTATTTTAAATTCATTTTTCGTGACCAGTTTTCCTTTCAAAATCGTTTCAAATTCTAAAATACAAATGGTAAAATTAATTATTAAATAATGGTAGTAAAACAAAATGGTATAGCAAATAACTTATAGTGAAGAAAGTAAGTAATGTAAATAGTAAAATAGCTCGGATAATTAAATGTAATTTGGATGCATTAAATTCTCGAATTAAATTAAGCACTTGAGCTCGAGTCTCCTCAATAGCACCACTATTATTCACAATATGAGTTGCACGATGACGTTTATCATACATCGGATATTGTGCATTGATCCGTTTTCGAGCGGCTTTTTCATCAATATTATCTCGTTGTTGTAAGCGTTTCAATTGAATATTTTCAAGACTGAAAAGACAATTGCAAATGAAAACAGATGTAGCGCTGATGTAATATTCTATCAATGTATTATTAACCCAATTACTTAGTATTACGAAAAGAAAGGAAAAGAAAACATTGCAGAAGAAAGAATCAAAAAGAATTCATTTGATATAAGTAATTACAGTATGTAAGTAAGAAAAACGAAACGTAAAATGGCGCATACAGCCTTAAATTACTTCAATAAGTCGTAATTAAAATCAATAATATGTTTTATTGCAAGAATTTTCTTCTTCTTGTAACCCAAATATGAATGTATTAAAATATTGAATACATAATAAGCAAAATTTTAAAACCTACCAGTCTACCAATACTATTGATTGCACAATTCTCGCATAACCAGCTTCAAAAAGTAATGGAAGATCTAAAACAACAAATTTTTCACCACGAAAAAAATATTGCAAAATTCGAAGTGCTATAGTTTTACGTATTTCAGGATGTGTAATTGAATTCACCAAATGACGAACCTGAAAATTTTTGACTTTTGATATTGAAAAATAAAAAATTAAAGATAAAAGTACCTGAAATATATAAATATTGTTAATAGTTTGTAAGATGTAAAAAAGAGAAGAAAAAAGACAACAGAAAACTTTACATTTTCATCAGAGAAAACCAAATCACCGAATTTTTTCCTTAATAATTCACCACTTACACTATCAAAGAATTCATCACCAAAATGCTGGCGCAATTTCTCATATGCATTTTCGCCTGGTGCAACAACTATAAAGTGAATTTTAGATAGGATCGCTGACAATATAACTTATTAAATATATTTTAAAAATTCCGATTTCACTTGCTACTTATTTTTCTCATATAATAAGGTCTCAAACTTTGTCAGTTGACATGAATTTTTCGTTTTGACATTTCATAACTTTTTCTCTTTTCAATGTTATAATTTTATTGTTCATACACTGATCACAGTTCATTATACAATTCAGTAATAAATACAACTCTACTTTTACTATTTTTACAAAAAAAAGAAATGAAAATTCAACGAAACGAAATGATATACTTATTCTCATGTGCTAATAAGAAAACAATAAAATATTACATCCGTATTTCTTCATTTATTGTAGAAAAGTAGGTAAGCTTAATTATTATCCACGATGAAATTTTTATCAATTAAAACGATTTTTAATAAAAAATTAAAAATATTTATTCCCTATTTATAAGTAGATGTACAAAAATAATTTTTAATAAAAATAGAATATTTGATTTACATTGTTCCAAAGAAGTATTTTTTGTGAAGTAATACATAAATGTATAATTTATCTACCGCTTTGTTATTTGAAAAGAATATAAAATAAAATCTCGAACTTCTCATTAAATCAGAATCGCAGCAAACTTACATCGATGAACAACAATTAATCACCTCTCTCAATTACTAATTATAGAAAAGAAAAATCATACCTTCACGAGCAATCAAATCTGCATCAATAACTGGCACATGATTTTCGACAAAAATTTGTGAAACAGTACTTTTCCCGGTTGCTATACCACCGGTTAAACCAATCAAATACATTTTACACTCTCCTTCAATCAATACTTCCCATATTCAGAGTGAAAAGAAACCTTGTACAACCCATCAAGAGGATCACAATAAGAATAAATGGCCATTTCATCGTCTATTTCGAGACTACATAAAATGTTAAAAAACATATTGCGCTTTCTCTTTTAAATAATTTACAGCAATTTTGGATTCCTTTCTTTATCAATGTGGAACATCAGTGAAATAAAAAGAAAAGCAAAAAGAACAATGTGACCATACATCATGCAAGTCACCTACTTGTTTTACTCATTTTTAGAGCATTTCAACTCTTCGCTGATTACTTGAGCATGAAGAGTTAGAAAAGTAAATGCAACTTTTTCTCTTAATCATTCATCGAAGAAATTCATGGTCATAAAAACAATATGTTGACATTGACATACAGTTATGCACACTTGCTAGACTCATTTTATTCTTTATTAATATACTTATATAAATTCATGAAGGTTAATCAGTGAACTACTTTCCACCATTTCAGCTGCTTTTTTTAATTTGAAATTTCTTGTTGTGAAATTGTAATTATCTGCGCTGGTGGGTGATATTTAACTGTTGAAGCAAAAACAAACAAAACAAATCAGTTCGTAGCCTTTTTTACTCATTAAACTTGTCACAAATCGTAATTAACAGCAAAATAGAACGGAAAAAAAAGAGAAAAGAACTCGTATAAAAACATTTTTTCTTTGATTTTGAGACCTGGATATTCACCGCAAAAATGTTCCATATTAGATTTATTAAAATTTAAAAAAAAAATTGAGCTAAAATTGAAAAAATAAAAAACACAAGCTTTAAGTGGAGTTTCTGAAAATGTTCAAAATTCAAGATGCAAAAATAAAGAATGATGAAACAAAACCAAAAGTTCCTCCGAAAAAAGAGCGAAGTAAAACTAAGATTAAGAAATTAATTCTGCCTCATTACTGTTAGATGGATGAAAATAATAGAAATTCAAAAGTAAAACAATCGAATCCATCTGCAAAAAATGATAACTTTCTTTACAGTCGACATATTTGCCTGAACTTTTTAACATTCATATTGGGAAAAGAAACAAGGAGGGAAGACAAATAAATTTCATCAATCAATGACAAGGCATAAATAAGAAAACACTACAGTGCGGGCTGTTAAGTATTTTAACTGTGACTCAAAATATGGCAACTGACAAAAGATTGCAAAAAGGGGAAAACTTTCCGTATTATATCAAAGTCAAAGCAAAAAAAAAATGTTGCTATGTGAAGCAGCTGGATCTCATTAAGGTATATACTCTCTTGTCATTGTAAACGATTAATCCTCAAAAACTCATAACACTGTATAACGCTATCCAAAAAAAAAGAAAAAAATGAAAGGAACAAAAAGAGAAGAGTTCGATAAAAAGATTGAAACTTCGAACCTAGTTAACTAATTTTCTTATTTTAAAATAAAGTTCAGAAAAAGGGACAGATGTAGAATGGTAAAATAATATTTCTTAAACAGCCGGAGAAGGATAACAAGTGTTGCAATCATCGCCATCATTTATAAAAAAATTGAAAAGAAAAGCGGTAATGACGGAATCATTAATGTAAATAAGAGGTAAAGAACGAAGCTTTATAAATGCTCTTCACGAAATTCTTTTGAAATTGAAGAATACTGAAAAGCAGTGGAAGTGAAAATCGATAAAATTTCTTTTCTAACTTCCGTGCTTGTGTGTGTATCGGATGAAATACCCAAGCAATCAATTAAAATCACATCCCGAACATCTAACAACAAAATGAATTAAAAAAGGATTACATCCAAACGGCGATTCTCAATGAATCAAATTGAACTCAATCACAGAAATAACTTTTAAATTACATATGAAACCACTTTCAGCCATTCAATACTTGAATTTATATACAGTCTAGAAGATGAAGGAAAGGACCTGATAAAGTTCGGTGATCTTTGTCTTTTTATTTTTTCATATTTCAATAATGCACATCTCAGATTAACAATTGACATTCCTAACAGGTTCTGAAAAAGAAATGCAGCCTTTAATTTAAAAATTTAGTTTTAAGAAGCCTAATTAATAAAAATTTTGCCAAAATAAGTTTTGAAACACCTACTATTTCCCCGAATGAGGATTTGATGAAAGTTGCGAATTTGACGATGTGGAATGCGGCGAAGTCGAACTGCTCGATATCACCTGGCTTCCGTACCTGGCGCTTAAAGCTGCCACTGCTGCTTGCTGATGGAGTAACTGTTGCTGAGCCAGCAATGCATACTGCGCCAGTAACTCCTGTAATACTTACATTTGAAATCATAGTAGGTAACAGGAACCTCTTCTTTTTCTTTTTAGTTGCCGTCAATAAAATATTCATAAAAGAATGTACCGTAGAAGCGAGTTGTCCTATAGAAGATGTCCCAGAAACGGCTGTACTCGAATGAGTTGGTGTCCGAGGAGCAACAAAATTTCCACCTAGTGCATTCGCGGCAGCCGCAGCAGCAATTGCTGCTGCAGCCATTTGTTGCCGTTCGGAAGTCAGTGTCAAGTGGGCATTATTCTGTGAACCACCAAACAGATCCAGTGCATTTGTTACAGCGGCTGTTGATGACATACTTGTTGCAAGTTGTGCATTAGTGAAATTCGCCAACAAGGGTGTACTTATCCCCGTGTTCGCTGACGCTGCCGATGGAATTCTAAAAATCTATTTTCCTTTATGCTTCATATAATAATAATCACTGCTATTGCTTCCTACACATTAGAGTTCAGTAATACTATTTCACTTACACAAATTTCTACCAATCTTTCTCTCTGTCTAAACCCGATCACTCAAATGACTCTGAAAAAGTCCGTTATCATCCTTTTCAAATACTAAATTATCAACTACTGATTATTTGAAATAATTTTCTACTTCACTATTTAGAAATCTCAACTGAACGACAATGAGAGATACATTCAAGAGCGGACAAATAACAACCGATGCACTCATATATTTATTTCAATAAAATTGCAAGAAAAACTTGCCGACTGGAAGGAAGTGAAGCTTGTTGCACTGATGCAATACCAGCAGTACTAGCTACAGGTGTTTGTCGGTTTTCTGTACCAGCAGTGGTACCAGCCAATTGTCCGGCAGCAGCGACCGCAGCAGCAGCAGCAGCCGCAGCTACAGCAGCTTGTGGTGTATGACTACTTCGGTTTGTGATCACTGATCCGTTATTTGCAAGGGAACGCAGCTGATTCAGCGAATCATCGATAATGGGTGGAAGGGTGGAACAAAATGGATTCAAAAAAGAGATGACTGCAGAACCAGCAGCTGCCTGAAGGGACTGTTGCTGTTGTTGTTGTCCACACACTGTTGTTGGTGGTAGAGGTACAATTGATGGGAGACTTGAAATGGATGCAGAGGAGGTAGATTGTGTTGTACATTGTGTTGATGAGATGCCGCTGTTCGGCTGCATGCTGCTGGTTGAAGCTAATGGAATACTACCACCGCTACCTGCTGCACTGATCCGTGGTGAATGATGCGGACTGAAAGATACTTTTAGTGGTAATGTTCTTTTAGGATCACTTTAATATCCCATGATTAAGCTTAAAAGTTAGCAAGTAATAAAAACGAGTAGAATGACGTAATGTTTCACACTGTATCTGTAGAAAGCACTGTTTTACAAACTGCGCTAGAGCTGGACATGAATGAGATTGACTGTGATGCTGTTAGTGATATATTTCTTCGACTACGTCTACTCACTGCAAGTAAAAATTGCGGAAGGTCGAACTACAGAAACACACCTGGTACCAAGGCCCAATGAAGAGCCGCTTGCCAGAGATAGTGACAACCTGGTATTTAATGCAAGCAGATGATCTCGCCGCCTAGCAAGCTGTGATAATGTTTCTTCCAAACGAATATTTTCCATTTTCAACTCATGCAAACATGACAAAAGTTGTGCAACTGAAAAAATTCTTAACAATCTGGATAAAATCGATTAGTTTCGAACAGCTTTGATTTAAAGATAGCAGTCAAATTGGTAGTTTCTGTTAATTCCTTACATATTACTAAAACTATATATATTTAAATCCTGAGTATTCTATAAAAACCAACAAGCAAACATATTTTTACAATAATCAAGAAATATATCCCTTTTGCAAGGCATTCCATTCATTATAGAAGCTTTTTAAAAGCAGTAGGATTTTTTTTTTTAAAGCAATAAAAATTTAACGGCAAGATCCCATCTTCAAAAACGGAAGTGTGGAAGATTACTGCAAAACGAAAAGAAAGAAAACAGAAAACAAACTATCAAATGGTGCATGACTCATCAAGAAGTGTGATCCCTGCTCCCATTGCCGTTCCAGCAATTCTTCCATCGATTGTGGAAAAGCTACCGATTGTTGAGACATGGGACAAAGAGATGTTGTAGCTCCAGCTGCACCAGATGTTGATGGCAATGATGATGCAACGTGAGTACGATCCACCGCTATAACCGCCGCACTAAAGAAATAACATCAAGCATATGAAATAGAAACTGATGCAATTATAAAAGTTTTCGAAAACGTTTTTGAAGTCAATACGAAATTGATCTGGCATACACTGTCAATTAATCATTTTATCTCAAGAGCATCCGCAGAACTTCGAGTAATGTATTGCAAGTTTTCCAGTAATCCTGCATTTCATTAATATCAAAAGGAAGAAATGCTTACCCAGCATCCGGACTTACTACAGCCTTTGGTTGTGCCCTTATAAGTGGTACACCAACAAACGTTGATGTTGTTACTGTTGACGTTGACGGTTGTTGCTGCTGCGTTGACGTCAAAGAACACGTCACTACAGTACAGTGAGCTGAAAGAAAAACCTAACAATGGATATTTTAGTAATTCATTCTAGAAATGAGAAAGTAATATATTTCTTCCTCTCACTCTTTTGATCGCAGATAACTAATGAAAAAATACCCGTTGAAGTGCTTGCCGAATCTGTACAAGTTGTTATTTCATGTTCTCCAGAAGTTGAAGGAGCAGTTGAATGAGATGTTGCAGCAGT